CGATTTCTGGTTAACGCACAGTGGTCTGAAATCCAATCTAGGTGAAAAAAATTATTTTATCTCAATAATCAAATTAAAATAGGTCCAAGAAACTGGAAAAAATATTTTAAAAAAATAAATGTTTATTTACACCCGTTGAATGGTAATATATACATTTTTTAATCTAAAAGTCACTTTTTCGTAATATATGATATTATATACGATTTTATTTAAACGTAGTCATTTTCTTCATCAGTAAAATTATTATTTAAATTTAATAATAATTTCACTTTATTATCTAACTCATTTTTTTTTTTTTTTTTTGGTATATTGCGTATCGAAGAAATGTACGGGTCGGATGAAACAAGTAAATTATGGAGAATATCTTCATTTTGCACTACTCTGCTTTTTTTTCGTGAATGATGTTCTCGATATTTTTTATAATCGTTGTTTCTAGCCTCCTGTGCTTCCTCGGAAAATTGACCTTAAAAAATATATTCATTAATAATTTCAAATTATAAGATTTTAGAGATTTATATTTTTTTAACCTATAGGAAGTAACGACGATATAGTTCCAAAGCGTTTAATTAAATTGAAGTCGACACCCATTATTTCTGAGGATTTTTCAGGACTATTAAAAAATCTACGAGCTGTATTTCCATCATCTGTTGTTCCTTTCCCTGATTTATATATATATATATATTTATACGATATAATAAAGTATAGTTGTATATAGTATATAGTGTAGTTTGTGTAGTATAATTTCTGAAGAAGAATATTTGTTTGTTAATGTTTTAATTTTATTTCGCTTTTATTTTTCACAATTATTTTTGAAGTTTATTTTGTGTCTTCCTATAATTTTCTTTTTTGTCCTAATATTGTTAATTTTAGTTTAGATTTAAGCCACTCACTATTAGCCTGGTTAAATCTTATATGATTCCGTGAACTTTTAGACCAATGTCTTTGTAAAACCAATGTAAACTTTAAAATGATTAGTTCAACTAATTTTGTGTATTGTGGCTCCCATCGTTCAGTTTTGTGTCGAGCATTCAAAATGTCAAGTAGGTATCTTCTTGGTTTTATGGAGTGAGGGTTCAATGGACCTCTATTTTTAATGATGTATATAAATCATCGTAAGAATAATAACGAAAATTAGAATTATTAAAATTCAAGTTTTCGTCAATATCTGAGTCAATTATATCGACATTTCTACAAAAAAAAAAAAAATTAAAAATAAAGACACTAATGGACGAAAAACAAATTTTCAGATCGAATGAAGTAAAATAATTACTATAGTATCTATATATTAGTTAACGATTATTTTTGATTATTTTTTATTTGAAATATAAGTATTACCTTTTTGTTTACTATTTTTCCAACTATATTTTATACCTAACATCATAAAAACATATATTATAGTTATTGAATACTTACCTTGATTTTCAAAATCCATTTCCCATACGAAAATAAGTAAAAATATAAAATATAACTAATTAATACGAGTGAAATGAACGACAAAACTCGAATAAGTATAATCGAAAAGTATAACAACAGATATGAAAATAATCTTCATTTTCTAATTGGCCTGGTCACCTAACACACTTAATATTATCTGAGGTATTATATTTATGTAATGTAGGATATACATATTGGGTTTTTGTAATAAAATATTAATATCAATGTAATTTTTTCCACCTAAATTGGATTTCAGACAACTTTTAGTCGGTTAGTCAAAAACACTATTAAATATAAATAAAAAAAGTACTGACTTATAAGGTATCTACAACATACTTACGATTCAGATTTTTAAAACGAATACAAATATTTTTTTTTACATTTTTAAAAAAAAGTAGAAAGATCACCATTGCCCCTAGATAGGGATAATGGTAGTCACTCAAAAACCCATGCAAATTAATAGGGAAAATCATAAATTTTATTCTACTCATAATTACATAAATAAACATGGAAATACTTTTATTAATATCTGCCTTTATTAATAATAGCCTTTATATAATAATATGGGTAACATAACTTTGAAAACGGTGCAACAAGAACTTTTAACATTTAATACAGTTAACAATACAAAAGTAACAACATTTTTTAAAATTATTTAATTTTAATTCTTAGTCTTCTAAATAATGGGAATCATAACTTTGTAAACCGTGGAAAACTTAGTAACAGGACATTTTTATAAATGTAGTTTTTTCATTATTGTAAATGACTATCATTACCCTATAAACACTGACTGCGAATACCCCATTCTGAAATTTTAGAAAAAATTAATTTTTATTGGTAGTTGGTTTAATTACATTTTCAATGCAGATTCGTAATCCTCATAAATTAAAATTAAAATAAACTTATCTTGAAAAGCGTTTTTCGAATATGATTTTTAACAGAATATTCTCGGAAAAACGTTGATGACAATATTTTTGCGATAAAACTTTATAGATAACTAGATAAATAAATAATTTCATTTTAAAGGTTTTGATAATAACATTAATCATTCCTCGTAGTCAGCTGAATTTTAATTATCATAGTTTCGTAACAATCAAGGTGACCTCGATTACCCCTTGACCATCATTCCTCCATTCTCCCCTATACCATCCATTTTTCTTTAGAAATCTATTTCTCGAATTCGGTAGTCATCAAAACCGCACACTTACCGTTCATAACCGCGCATTTTACATCGTTCAATACTCCACACAATTATTCTATTGTTAAAAAGGGAAATTTGAAAGGTCGATAGTTCAAAACCGCACACATTTGAGTAACAGTTATTTCTCCCTGCATATTTTGCATGTACGATTCATGTTGCCGTTTCGTATGATTTCCACTCATAATCGTTTTTTTTATCCTGTGACCTATTTAGGGTGGTGTTGTATAGCAAATCGGGGGATATTTCGTTTTTAACTGTCCGAGCCGGGATTGTCGAATTGTACTTATTACCTACAAATAAATGGTCGAATTGCATTTGGATTGAAAAAAGGTACCTAATGGTCAAACTGCACTCGAGTAAAAAGCAAGTAGTGGTCGAACTGCACTCGTTCAAAAACAGAGTTAAAATGGAAAACTCTTTAAAAATATTACGAATCTTTCTGTTGAATAACGCTACGGCATACTTATTTAATAGCATTATATATTAGTTCGTGCTATTTAGATAACGCAGATATTATATAATAATAACATATATACACAGAAGCGTATTACCAAGGTAGAATTTTTGAATACAGTTAGTCATTATTACAAAAATTATCAAAATGACAAAAAAAAATTATAATAATGACAATAATTAAATTTGACAATTAAAAAAAAAATGTATAATAATAATAATATGTATAATATAATATAATATAATGTATATTATAACAATTGTAATGTAAATATATATAATTAACATATAATAATGAGATGCATAAAAAAATAATTTTTAACCACACTAATGATTACTAAATGGTAATAAATGTAACTAAATAAAATAAATCTAACCCCTTCAAATGCATGATAATTTTATTGAAATACTTTTTTGAGCCCAAGCGCAGTTCGACCACTACCTGCTTTTTACCCGAGTACAGTTCGATCATTACCTTTTTTAAACCAAGTCCAATTCGACTAAAATAAGTGCAATTCGACTAAAATAAATGCAATTCGACCATACCCGTCCGAGCGAACGTAGCGAGCGAGTAACCTCGCCCGGTCTCGAGATGCACTCATGTTATTTTAGATAAATGTATACGTTATTGATATATATCAATGTGTGCGGTATTGAACGGTTTAATTTGACGGACATATAAGGGATTAAGATATAAAAGTGTGCGGTTTTGAACGACGACCTGTTTTTGAAAGTGTGCGGTTATGAATGACGCCCCTCTAATTTGGGTGATAGCTTGTTAACTGGTTTTATCTTAAATATTTAATCTGCTAATTTTACTATATCCGTCAATGACACCGCATTCTACGCTATGGATATTTAGGCAGTGCTCGAATTTAACAAATAAAATATAGGGACGTTATAATTTGGAGTTAAGATAATTATATTAAATTATTAAAAGCCTTAAAAATTTGTTTTATATAAGGCATGGCTTTGTTTATAAAACTGTCATAAGACGTATTTTAACGATATTATACTCGATTTTAGATAAATAACAAATATTATGTACATTGAAATTAGATAAATTAATAACAATTGAGCAAATTACTTTTTAATGGATAATTAAAACTACCTGTTTTGAGATCTCCACTATATGTGTATGTTCAGTGTTCAACTGAAAAAACTGGAAAAGGGAGGAGCCGTTTCAACATTTTAAATGCAACACTGTTAGCGCCGGTAGAAGAGCAGGGTAGTAGGGGAAGCTAACCAGGGCCCAGCGCTTGAGCCCGTGCCTTCCATGGAATTTAATAATTGATTAGCCTATAATTTTGTTTTTAAAATTAAATTAAAATCACCCCATGTCATGTGAAAATTATATGTTTACTAGATACCTTTTATATTGCAGTATAAAATATATTATTTATATTATTAATTAATAGTATAATAATAATAATAAATTAATAAACAATATGTTGTTAACGCTTTGATGACAAAATACAATATCCATACTAAAGATAAATGTTTTTACATAAGTCGTATACAATAAAAAAAATATCTCTAATATTAATAAATAAATAAATATTAATAAATACTAAAGAGCGTTCAAGAAAACAAATTCTAGGGCTCCATGAAAAAATCCGCCCCAGACCCCGCGAAACCTGCAATCGACGCTGATCACTAGTCCCAGTACTCTTTTGAAAATTCGGTGCCACAATTTATTTTATTATGTAAAGTTTATATGGTTCTATTATTAGTGGTACATTACTGATAATATATTCAAGTGGTACACGAAAAAAAAAGTTTGAGAACCGCTGTATTAGATATTCATAACTTTTAAATTACACGGGTAAAATGGCCATACTGTAAGCCACAATAATTATTGTACGCTTGTTACGGTTTTTATGTATTTTTGGTAAACACTGTGTGTTAACTAATGCTATTAAATTGTTGATAGTGTCAAGGATCTTCCCAACAATTTGAAAAAACTACACGAAATTTATTTTTTATCTTATAAGTACTACTGCCGAAAAGTAATCTCAATTAATGTACGCCGTCATAATCTGTTTAACGCGTGTATGTTTGCAGAAATTCGGATGAAACCGTGACGTTTTACATTGATTTAGTGTGCCAACACAATTTTAATACGACATACACGAGTTCGATATGGTCGAAATAATTTCGTGAAGTGAGACGGGTTGTCATTTATGTATTATAAACATATTTTTCTACTGTATAGCGATCCGTTTCTCTACTTCCTATGAATTAATTACATTAAAAATGTTCCACTTTTTTTATTTAGCAAGACTGAAGACTTTAGTTGGATTAATTTTATACAAACTTAAGTACGTTCTGACAACTATATGATATTAATTTTTATCAAATGTTTACCGTGTGATCAAAACCTTTTTTTTTTCACTTTGTGTTGGAAAATAAAGTTAAATTTAGTTTATACAAATAAACGTGGAGATCTATTTTTTAACTATGACAAGGCTGAGCCTTTAGAAAAGAAAAAGAAATAAACGTGATTAGTTACTGATAAAATTTCATAATAAATTGTGGAATGAGACTTAATGTTAAAGAAACCCCCTTATTCTTTGAATATTATAACACAGTTTGTTTAAATGAATTAATAAGTTCAATAAATTCTTATTTTGACATTTCAGTCAAATATTAGCTTCTCTAAAATTAAATCATGTAATTAATTATTGTTACCATAAATGTGTAGCTCTCTAATCAATAATAGAGTTACAAATTAATCAACACTGAAAAATTACTAAGCAAATGTTTTTACTAGTTCAAAATTACACGGGCAACATTATAAAAAATTAAAGTATTTTATGATAATTTATATTCTTTTTATCTTGTTTTTTATTTTTAATTTTAGTGAATATATCCATTATTTATTGGTATTTCTACTTGCTTTAACTATAATTTACAATGAATGGTTTATTTACTCATTGTATGCAAGTAAATGGCCATATTTATATTGTGGAAATGAAAAGTTCTGCAAAAATATCTTATTGGTTGCTGATCCACAAATATTAGGCGAAGAAAGAGAAAATATTTTATCACGCTGGGATAGTGATCGATATCTATTTAATACCTATGGTCGAGCACTACAACACGTAAAACCTGATAATGTTGTTTTTTTGGGTGATTTATTTGATGAAGGTTCAATAGCTGATCAAAAAACTTTTGAAAGATATTTATATAGATTTTGTAAAATATTTTTTTTAAAAACCACTGTTCCTCTAGCATCAAAAAATGTAAGTCAATATTTTATTTATATAATTCATTAATTTTTTATTTTGATACCTATGTTTAATGTATATTATTTTTTTAGGTTATTTTTATTCCTGGGGACAATGATATTGGTGGAGAAGAAGAAATAGTTATTCGAGAAAAAGTTGATAGATTTCACCTTTACTTTGGTTCACCAGGAATCATTGTAAATGAAAATATTGAATTTACCATGGTATAATATATACTCGTACATTATTCTGTAATTAAAAAAAACATTTAGAATTCTGTATATGTTTCTTAAGTATTTATATTTTTTGTTTGTTAATTTAAATGTATATTTAATTTAAATCTAGGTAAACCAACTAATAGATTCAATGCCAATGAATAATAATCCTACAAATAGAACAAATACCATAAAAATTATGTTTTCGCACATTCCTTTAACACCAAAATATACAAAATTCACAGAAAAAGTAATTGAATTTTTAATTATTTAATGGTTATGAACGAAAAACATAACACTTAAAAAAATATAAATGTTGTTTAAGGTTTTAAACGAATTCAAAAGTGAATATATATTCTCAGCTCATGACCATTCTTCAATTAATTTTGTCAGTAACTTTAAACAAAAAAAACAAAAATATGTCCAAAGACTTGGGCGCAACAGTTATAGTCAAATGACTGAGGCTCAATGGAGATTTGGACAGCAATCACCAGATATAGTCAGTGAAATTATTGTGCCAACTTGCTCTTATAGAATGGGATCAAACAATGTTGGATATGGAGTACTAACTATAGGTAATTATTTAAAATAATTTATGTAATATTAATTATTTTGGTACAACAGTTAAAAATTATAGATATCTTTCAATATAAGTACATTTTAAGGTTAAACTGATAAATTTCTTAAGGAAATTTTTACACTAGGGTAACAAATTTGTCTCAAGTATAATACATTAGAAAAAATGTTTATATACAAAAAATTGTTTTGATGGATGAGGGATCTGATCACCACTAGTATCACAACAGTACAGAAATTCTATTAATTAAAACAATTAAAAAATAATGTCAGTTTTTAAAACCTTATATTGTCTTACTTTTACTAATTGTATTTGCTTTTAAAGATAAACTTCTTAATATTTAAATATCATCATGTGTAATTTATTCGATTAATTAATATTTTATTTTTCAGATACATTCAGACACTCGATTACATATACGATTTTATGGCTTCCATCAAGATTTTCTTGTCTTTATGTCTACCTGTATATTTTAATGTTAAGTATTATTTTGTATTTGTTACATTTAATAACTAGAAATAGCAAAGCTATTGTATACAGGGTTATGTAAACAATCAAATGTACTTATTACTTAAAATTGAATTATTAAGGTACATATTTTCATTGAGATAACTGAATAAATGAAATGTTTTATAATTTGTTAATTTTTAATAAAATAAGATATGATTTGTCACAAATGTATAAAATTATAACCTGTTTTAATTTTATATTAAATTATAAATGTATTTAAATTATATTGTATCAATTAATTTTATAAGTTTTTAATTTTATTGTGTATATTTAAAAACCAAACTTAATATTAATTCACTTTTAAAAATTAATATTTTTAAGTAAATAAATTGTGTTAAATTAAGTGTAATCAAAGTTAAAGTGTTAAAAACATTAATGGATATTCAATAAATAAGTAATATACATAATACCTATCATATTTAATAAAATATTAAAATCAGTAGCAAACTTAAACTTCTTAAAAATAAAAATATAACACCTTCAAACATTTAAGTGAATTCTAATAAAAACTTATTGTTTGCATTTAGCACATCTGGATAAACATATTTTTAAAAACATGTGATAAACATGAAATGATTTTCAGTGCTACTAACAAATCAATTTATTACTTAGATAACTAATATTTTGATAATAATTTATTAAACATTGTACATAATAATAATAAAATTCCATTGAATTAATAAGTATAATTAAAAATATTTTTAATAAAAATATTGGGAACACATTGCTAAAGAAAAATATTTTAATTATTTTATCTAAATACCAAATAGAAATTGGAGTTATTAGCATGAATTTAATTAAAATTTACATAAAATGGTCATTACATGAAACAAAATAAAGTCTTAATGAAAAAATTATTGATCATCTCCAATTGAGGAAATTAAAATGTTTTCATATTAAAAACAAAAATTCAACAACAAAGTAGCCATTTATTTTTATAAAACAGAACTACTTACCATGGTTTTAAGACATAAATCATATATTTTACATATAAGCAATAATTCTCATATCATTATTGATTCCCTATATGTTTCTAATGATCTAAGTATGATCAAAGTGATTGACTGGCAGACTGAAATAACACTTTTTGATAATCTTTGATAGTGTCTGTGCAATTTAATGGAACTCCTTTATTTTTAGCTAAACAATCCAATACATTATTTTCTTTTTCAAGTACTGTTTTACTTAGTACTCCTTCTCCAATTGCAGGTAACAACTTCTTAACAGATTCATATGTACGTTTATATTCATATTCTACTTTACGATTCTGAATAATTTGACTATCATTAATATGACTAAAACGCTGCTCCCACCTCTTGTCATTTTCTTCCAATTCTTGCTGAACTATCTTTTGAACTTGCAATGATGATGGCTGCACATATGTTGGTACAATAAATGACCCATGATCAGCTGGTCCTGGCTGCTCTTGACCACGAAGTCTTTCCACTACTTTGTCCGATAAAGTAATCACATTTGGATTTTCGATTTCAAGTTTTCGAGGTGTGCTGGATGACCCACCCATCTTGGCATAAACCTATAAGTATAAAAAACTAAAAATTGTTTAAAATTAAACAGATGATATCATCAAAAAAAAAAAAAATAATCTAATTTTGATACACTTACCCAAACACTTGGAGTGTTAATTAAAAATTCAATTCAACAAATGTACGCTTAATTAAAAATGTCCATCAATTAACAAATCGCTTTCTGATTGCAACTACGAAAATCCATTGGTCTTTAAGTGGTTTTAAAATTAGAAATAAAACTACTGATTTGAAGGATGTTTTGGGTCAATTTTACAATTTTTAAATTTTCATAACCTCAAATGAACTGTGTCTAAAAATATTATTATTGTATTTTTAAATATTTAATTATAACCCTGGTTATAAAATAACAAAATCGTAGATATAATTTATTTTATAATTTAACACTTTAGCTTGTATATTTTTTTAATTTGCCTAGCCGATAGCATGTCGAAATAAAAACCATATTTAGTACGAAGTTTTAAGGATAGTATAATTTTACCAAACAACTAATTGTGCGAATTGCTCAACATATGAATACTGATAAGAACAGCTCTTAGTCGGCATAGATAGTAGAAATGTATGATAGCGCGTACCGCAGAATAAATTTTATTTGAATAATTATTCTAAATATTGTAATAAACACATATTTTATGTGTTTTCCACCAGTATTCTGTGGTTTAATTATGTATCGAAATATATTAATTTGAACCAAACATATAAAAATAATGTAAATTGAAACGATTGATTTAGAAATCATTGATTATAGTTTCAATAGCATAGCCGTCCGTTAGGATTGTTGATTCCTAACGACGAAATTTAAAATAAACCGAAAAATAATAAATCAGAGTATCAGTTATGTACATTCAATTAGTTAAAAATTATTTTTTATTATATTTTCTGCCATAGTATATTACGTAATATGTCAATTACCTATTTAATAATTATCTCGTACGTTTAATTTTTTGTTAAAAATTCAAAAAAATATATTGTACGCATGCACGTCGTTTTTATTTAATTGCTGATGAATCAATTAATAAAAATAAATTATAAATATTTTACGCAGAGGCTCAAAAAATACAACATCTTCTTTTGCGAGTGACAAATATTGTCACTGTACAACAAAACATAATATTAAATCATGGATCACGTATAAAACGTATTTAAGTGTCTTACCACGAGCATGTATAATGTTGACAACCGATAACCCTATCTTCTAAAATGAATGAAAAATCAAAATTAGTATCCGAGTTGTTAGGTATCTCAGTTCCATCACAGAGGTATTTAATTTAGTACCCTAGAATTTAAGATGAAATAATATAATGTGTCAAAAATATTCTAATGGTATAATTTTTTTGGACTTATAAAATCATCCCTCTGTATAAAATATTAATTAAATACTATCAATAATTGTTTGAATTCTTATTTGTGTTAACATTCTGTTCATTTATGAAAGTCATTCTTTTGCAGACCTATTTGAACGTACAATGTACTATGTATATAAATCGTAAATCATAATAACTTGTCATACAAACTCACGAGACGCTAATAACTAGTTATAATTATTTCTTATCTTCTACTTATAATTTGTTTGGACATGATTTCTTGAAGATGCTTCGAGCCACTTCACTTCAAATTGAATAGTAATGCGATTATAACACAAAAAATCAGAATTCAATAGAATCAATATCACTAGTTATAAATGTATAATGTTGATATAATATTATATATCATGACAAGAGATAATTTTAACTCTAATAAAAAAGTATATTAGAAGTGTGAAATTAACAAAAATATGGATTAAATAATATTTCTAACAATTCAGGAAGTTCTAGATTTTAAAGATGAATGAATTAGTAGTATTTAAAATATTCATTACATTTTGTATTTTATAAACAAAACGATATAGGTACCTAACATAAAATATAATATTTAGAATTGAATAAATCAAAAACACATAGATACCTATGGAGCCGTGAAATTATATTTTAGAATTAATACAATAAAACGCGGTGACACTACTTTTAAATAGTAGACATCGTAGGGCTTAGGGAAGTTAAAATATATCCACAAAAATAAGTTTCACTGTAATTATAAACGTTTTGATTCTTTGTCTCCGAAATGTCATAACAATTAAATGTATACACATATATATTAATTAACAAACATACATATTAGTATATTACATAATGTTTTAGAAACAATTATACAGAATATTATATGGTACTGCTTTTAAATATTAATCTTATCTGTACTTGTGTATTTACAATAATGTATGCGTATTTACGCAATATTGACGAAATCTATTAGAGTTTATAGAGTTTATACGAAATATATACTATATTCTACAATTCAAAATGTATGATAAGAATATAATAAAAAATTTCTAACGACGAATAATAATATAACAACACCACGCACACACAATATATCAATAATAATAATAAAATATATGTAAAAATGTTTTGAACTTAAATAATATTATAAAACTAGAAATAATGGTAACAAAACACAAGTACCGCGGTAGTGAATATAAATATAATAAAAATAATACAGCCATAAACACGATGTTACCTCTAACGATCTGATGTTCGTATAGTTGCTAAAGACACGTGTGACGAACACCGAGATCGGTAAGCTTAGTCGGCGATGAGCGGAAGATTGTGCAGAATTTGCTAACTTTCTTCAACAGTAAAACGTTCTGGAAATGATGCACTTAGTATGGCAAATCAACGAATCGAACACAGCGGCGGACGAACGACGGACACAACGTGAAAAAGCCGTCACACCACACACTCAACGACTGCCACTCGGACTCAGTGCTTGGAAAGCTCATTTAAAAGAAACTCGTTCACGTTCACGTTCATCTTATTAAAAAAGAATCCTTTACCATTCCTGTCTTGAAAAAAGAAACTCGTTCCTTTCTTTGTTCCTAAATAAGTAACATTTTTCATTCCTCAAAAATTTTAAAATTTTATCAATATAATTAATTTAATTAGGTATTGATGTTTTGTTTTTATTTTTTAAATTTGTTTATTTTATACAATATAATAATGACATAAATAGAAGTTGTAATATATTTTATGATAAAATGAATTATGCTTTCAACTTGGCAACCACGACCAAGAATGTAGGCTCTAGATATAAACGTATTAAAGAATGGATGACAGCCGGTTTATTATGCTCTGCACGTAAAAAACAACATCTCTCAATGAAAATTAAAAAACACTCTAACAATACATCTTTAATGTTATGTTATATTAAATATAAAAATACTTTTACTAAAATATTAAGATTCACAAAAATACATTTTTCAAAATAAAATTAATAGTGTTGCATCTAATCCAAAATTAACTTGGAAATTAATAAACAAAATCACAAATAAAAATGTCGATAAGTCTAAAGAAATCAATTCAATACTAATAAATAAACAAATGTTAAATGTCACAGTCGAACCGCAAAAGATCGCAAATATTTTCAACACTTTTTTCGTCGATATAGGCAGTAAATTAGCTGAAAATAATATAGTAGAAGATAATCCTACAGAGGAAGTCGTTCCTCTCAATGGAAACATTTTTAATGAAAAAATAACAGAAACAGATATCTAGCAAAGTTTAAAAACTCTGAAAGATGATACAGCTGCCGGATTTGATAAAATAACTGTAAAATTATTAAAAACCATAATTAATTCTATACTAGGCCCACTTCTATATATATATATATAATCTAAGTATTAAATACTATTTATTTCCTGAAAAATTTAAGATAGCTGTAGTAGCTCCATTATTTAGAGGAAATCAAACTGAAATAAATAACTATAGACCAACATCGATGATTTCTAATTTTGCCAAACTGTTAGAAAAAATCATTAAAAACAGGTTAATGAAATACCTTGAATCTAACAACTTACTCTCAAATAATCAATTTGGTTTTAGACCAGGTCTAAGTACAGAGGATACAATGTAACAAGTTTATAAGTAATTCCCTAGACAATGGTGAAAAAACATTAGCAATCTTTTTAGACTTAAAAAAAGCTTTTGATACAGTTCATCATATTGAATTAATAAAAATTCTTCCAACTTTTGGAATAATAAACAAAAGTCTACTTTGGCGTACTAGTTACCTAGAAAATAGATTACAATTAATTAACATAAATGGTATACTAGGTGAAAAAAAAAGTGTTGTCTGTGATATACCACAGGGAAATGTTCTTGGACCAATCCTCTTTATATTATATATTAATAATGTTTGCAATACTAAAATAGATGGCCAGATGATCACATATGTAGACGATACATTTTTGCTCTTTTCAGACTCTACATGTGGCAAATACGAAATACAAGAACGAATTTGAAGTATTACGTTTTTCATATGAAAAAATATTAATATTTACTGAGATATTTCCATCGGGATATCCTGTAGTTGTATAGTGTGGTCAGTGATATCAAACGAATATGAGGAAATTAATCTCTTTCCATACATAAACTAAGAATATGTAATTCATTTTTTAGTAATAATAATAATAGCTTTTCTCAATTTTTTTTTTTTTTTATTAATACCTGAAAATTGTAATAATAATACAGCCATTTAATTAGAATTTAATTATTCAAAAAAAATACATTTATATCAATGTTGCCAACGTTAAGATGGCAAAAATAATTGCGAAGTTATAAAAAATAACAACAAAGATACAACAGTCAGGAACATAAGTTATGTAACTCTAGACCTTATCCATATGTATATATAATAAGAGTATAATGTTATTAGTCATTGAATACTGAATATTACACCATTCAAATAAATCCACAAATGTATTACTAATGTTTAATTGCAGTAGATTTACATTCATCCATTCAATTATCAGCATGTTGCATTGTTGTTTGCAGCATGTTACCATAAATCATAATATTATCTGCAATTCCGGGACCGGTGGTGCGCTCAAACAAAGGATCGTGATCGAATCTAGCTTTTGCAAACTGTAAATCAGTGGCGCCATTTGAATTTTATAATAGGGGTGCCAAAATTTAAGCAGGCCAATTTTTTTTCGTCAGGCCACTTTAAAAAAAAAAATAGTAAATACAGATATCGTTTATTTGTAAGTCGCTGGTATGGGGTTTAATTCTTGATGGTTATATTTTAATGAATTCAAATTATTCATTAATTATTTATTTGCCTTAATAATTGTTATTTGTTTGTAATTACCAGCTAGTAAAAACATATTTTTTCATTGAAATTTGAAAATTTACTTACTGTAATTTTTGACTGCGTTTTTTTTGTAAACAATTGTTCTATACTATAATATTTGGATGATGTGTCAATCATTTTTTTTTTTTGTTTTCGTCACGTAAACGAGCAGCTCCACCTTTTCTCTTTTTTTTTGTTTTGGAAATTCATGACAAAATTAAAATAATTAAATAAATAGTCGATAACTAAATTTAATGTCAATACTAAACATCTTTACGTAAATTACATTAACATAATAAGAAAACTTCAATTTATTAGAATAATTATAACCTTACATTTCATTTTTGAGCTATTTTAAGAATGTTTTTTCTGGTAATCAGTCGACAGACGTAGTTAGATAATATTATTATTGTTAAAACGTATAACTGTCTGTAACAACATCTATTATATTTTTATATAAACCTATATTTATACTATATTTTAGTATAACGCATTCATACGTACCAACGGGCAACGATAAAAACATAATCTGAAAATTTTGAAATAGCTTTGATCAATAATCATGCATAGACGCATAGTGCAAGCTATAATCTAATAAAAAACTAAAAATAATAAATATTATGTATTTACCTACATAATAATATTATATTTTATTTTTACAATATATTTTAATGTTTAAGCATAAGACCATAGGCCTGTGCGCCGTAGGCGCATTGTAAATTTTAATCCAGGCTAATTAGACACAAAAATAAATAGGGGAGCCAAAGTATACTCTGCTCCCCCCCAAATGACCTCCCTGGTGTAAATTTGTAAATGGTATTTAAATAATAATTTTAAAACCTGATGTCTTAAACTAGTTCCTATTAATATTATGAATTATGATATTGGTTGATTATATATTTGCATTAGGCTTGTATCCCTCATAAGATCTGTTTTCGCTGAGTAGGCCAAGAGGTCCGAATATTTGGAAGAATTGGCTGATTGATTTATAAAAACACTCAGGTGCGTTTTAGAAGGGTAAAGTTTTTAGGTCAAACACAACATTGATATTGGTCCCCGACCATCAAAGCCCAAGGGATCTTCGATTTAACTATAGGGACCCTTGGAGTCAAAGATAAAATTAATACAGTGCAGAATAATTAAGTGACTCTCTAGGGTCGAAACCGTAGAAAGTTAATATATTGTATGAATATACATATGTTCAATTTACTGATATCGATATTTTGTAATAGGTACAGAGTATTAAATATTACTATTGATTATAAATACTAGGTATTTCATAATCAATGATATTACGTAATGTTTTGGACGACTAAAAAAATATATATAAAATATATACAGAGTTTTCAATATTATTTTTGATCCTACTGGCTTCTCACTCGATAAAGCTCCAACTTGCATAAATCCATTCGTTACCTAACCGACTGCATGCACGTAAAATATTATTCTAATATATGCATTGAACAAATTAATCATTTAAGCAATAGTGTGTTTTAGGGGTAGGACGATTGTGAGGGACAGAAAATGTCAAGAGGTATCAAATTTTTATTCGAAATTAGTGAAACGCAACTCGGTTATTTGAGCCAAATACTCTGCATTTTTTAATTTTATTGTTAAGTTATTTATAATATTATAACCAGAGCTAGCAAATTTTTATTGGGGGGAGGGGGTTTATAAATGTAAAAATTGTACTACTATCAAAAACAAAATTCTACAATAGTAATATAACCTAATTCGTTGATGATTGCCAATCATATCCAAAAATATTTACAATAAAAATATAATGGTTCAGTATTATATTTAAAAATATATTAATAACATATTATGCTGATATATGTAATTTTTTTTTTTTCAATTTTAATTAGACAGTAACGTATTTACTTCTAATTATTGAAAAGTAAATTAATTTTATTACAATTTTATTTGAGTAACGGAAAATGTACTTTCATTACATTTAAGTAATGAATAACGAGTAATTTAACTTAATGGTCTTCAAAGTAACTAATCCAACACTGTACATAATATAAAATTTGATAGATACCTATCTTAGACAGTTCGGTATAAAAGGAAAATGAATACCTAACTAAAATAATACACCGAATTTTTCTTCTTAATTTTTATAGCGGCCTTCGTAATACTTTGGGGTACTTTTGTGTCAGAGTAATGTTACTTCGGGCCGTGAAACATCCGAGTACGTCACTGCGATCGTACTGGACTACGGCCGGGCAAAAATTCTCGTTTCAATCCGCACCGCGATCGTCACGGTCTCCGCTGCTCGACAAGTGCGCAGTTCGAGAGGCGTTCGAGCACCACGGGCGTCCCCCACCCTTGCCCAGCATGTACCCAGAACTTCATGGGCCGAACATGGGGCGGCGGTAGTCGGTCGCTCAGCAGTCATCGCGTGACCGTTACGCAGTCGGTGTTTTGTCACGTCATGGCCACAATCCGCGCCATTCCGGACGACGGGACACAGACACGCGGTAGAGTTTCGAATTTGCGATTTTTCGTTCTACACACGCCGATTTCCCTAATACATTCAAAGTTCGTAACCTGTACGTGCTGTGCAACCGACTGCGACGGGTCTGTATGAATCGTAAGAATTGATTTGTGCGTATCGTAGACGTGATGTAATTTTCCCAGCACAACACCTAAATATTGTACACGACAATCGTTCGTGTAAGTATTATCTGTCTTACCGCGGCTCCGTTGATAAAAGAAAAAAAACGTTTTGTTCGTGCGCCATAAAGTCTGGCAGTTGAGTATGCAACACGCGTGGTTCATACGAATTTAACAATCGACGCAACGGTAAGGCTGCACACTACTTGCGTCCCAAAAAAAGGTAGACTAAGCAGTGAGTTTGACCCAGAGGTGGATAGATAGTTTTTTTGTTACAGGGAAATATTTTAATGGGGCCAAAAGTTAGATTTCCAAAAGTATATTTTTAAAGTAATTTTTAAATTATTTTTAAACTTTCCAACAACCTATAGTTAGTTCCCAACTTTGAAAACTAAATATATTTTATATTAAAATAAATTGTATTTTAATAATTAATTAACAATTACTAGGGGGCGAAAAATTCAAGCTGTTGGTTTAACATATGATTTCAAAAGAATTGAGAAATTTATATATTTTTAAATAGTTTTTTTAGACTACCATTTTTACCTTCTGAAATGGTGCGTGATGTGTTTGTGTTTGATCTTATAGCAGTGGCGGACGCAGGGAGGGGTTTTGGGGGTTCACCCCCCCCCCCCCCCGAAATGAATGGATAATTAATTTCAAACGTATTTATCCTACCTTATGTACCTTTAAAAAATTAATTGTTTAAAATACGATTCAAATATGCTAGAAAAAAATGTTTTGTTAAGAAAAGTGAATTTGTATTAATTTGTAATTTTCCAAACTTCCTAAAAGGTATAGGTACTTAAAACTGAGATTTTTGAAATTCTATGATGGCAATACTTCGTAAAAATAATGTGTGTTTGTAATTCGTTTATTATGAGTAAATAAAACTAAGTAAATATACGTAATCGATATAATATTATTTACTATAGTACATTATGATTGACGGTATCTCTAAAATTTGTGTTGTATGGTCATGTGATAACGATCGACAATAGTCAATCTATAGTCAATAGTTAATTATTTCAAAATAATGGTTATCAGGCCCGTATTTAGAGGGAGCACGGGTAGGCACATGTCCGGGGGCGTCAAGCTCAGAGGCGGCAAAATATTTTAGCAAAATTAATTTAAAAAATGATGTAGGTACCTAATGAAAAAAAATAAAACAATAAAAAAAAAAATAGTATGTTGTGTTATGTTATAATTTTTTTAATTTGTTAATTAAAAATGTATTAAACGATTTTCATTTATAAGTTATATATTAATACTACAGAATCTCGATTATAGACGAAATAATAAGTGTTATATTATTATTTTTTTTGGGGGGGGGGGGGGTGCATAAATAATATGCCCGGGGGCACCAAATTTTTAAATACGGGCCTGACGATAATTATTCTTATTTTTTCAAAACCCCCCGAAATCTTTTTCTGCGTCCACCCCTGTCTTATAGCCATAGTTTCAACTGGTTATGAAGAATTTACTGATTATATATTGGATAATTATGTTTCAGAGAGTTCAAATTTCCCTCCACATATATGGTTTAATCCAAAATAAAAAATAAGATGTGGTCAAAACATATTTTCATTAAAAATATAAAAAAATTAAAAAGTTAATTTTTTTTTACAGCTGTGATGTAGGTCCTGTGCTCCCTTCGTTCACCCCCATAACTTAGACATACCTTGGAAGCCTCTGCCTAAATAACACTACTGGTCCTACATTTATAAGTTACTAGCTGACCCGACAAACGTTGTTTTGTCATATAAATTATTTCTAGAGAATATTTTGCCAGAAAAAAATAACTAATTAAATATAGGCATGTAATGATGTGGGTAAGGATAAGGATATAAGGAAGAGGTTTGTATGACACAAAGTCTCTTGGTAACAAATGTTGTATCTTGAGATTCAATTCGTTGACGTTCACATTTTTTGCTACTAAAATTGCTCCTGGCAATTACGAACAATCAAAAAAATTTGAGCCAAATCGGCCCAACAGTTCTCAATTGATGAAATATTATACATTTTTGGCTCCATTTTTATATATATATATATATAGATAACTAATAACTAATTATTTATTAACTTTATCGGACTAAATTTACGCCTAAAACCTTCTCTGTGATGTCCTCTTTAATTTAAAAAAAAACTGCACGACGATCCAATAAGTAGTTTCAGAGTTTATCCCGAACAAAAAAAAGCGACTTCATTTTATATAGTAGTATAGATTTATATAATAACATTTATGGATTTAATAACTCTATGGTTGATACACAATCCAAAATCGGTAAGTATTATCAGTATTATAATAATAACAGGCACGGCGCCAAAGGAGGGGGGCAAGGGGGGCTCTAACCCATCCAGAAAACAGTTCAGCTCCCTCGCCAGCCCCCCCACTGAAAAATAAGTATGTATGATTTAATAAAGTCATAAAACATTATTTTTAAAAGAGCTTCATCAAAGAATTTATGAAATTTACTTTTTAAAAATTTGTAATTTATGTAAATACATACGTATTTTCGAAGATTTGTGTTTTAAGTTTTTAGATAGACTCTGAATTTTATATAATTATTTTACTTATTTGCCTAAGATTTATTACCCCCTATTCATTTTTATCTAATTGTGGTTGTGTGTGGTTGTATGTCACGAAAATAATAATAGCTGCATTTTATGTTATATGATAGGAAAATATTAATATTTTAATTAAATAACCTTAGTATGTGGTGAGAAAACCTTAGCCCGTGTAAAAAAAATATTTGCCCCCCCATTTGCCTTTCCCGGGAAAAAAATTCTAGTGCCATGCCTGAATAAAAGTTTCAATTAAATTACAATTATATTTGAATGATTCGTAATTAATCAATGAATCGATTCATTTAACTGAATCATGTTTCCCATCCCTACTGCACTGTGCCATGATAGGATTACAGTTCAATCATAGCGAGAATTGTATTCGTGTTTCTCGAAAACCATATGTGACGACGGTTGGGCGGTCCCCATTAAGTACCATGGCGTGATAACGAATAATCATCGTGATGTTATCAATAATAATAATCATTATCGTCGTGTCGCGGCCGTGCGAGATCGAGAACGAATATTGAGTAAAAAAATTAAACCAACCCAGTGCTTTCACACCTTATCGCCCGTTCGTAACTGGACACTATGCTTGTCTAATATTAATTACATCTATACATAAATATTAATACACATGTGTTTTGATTACAATATTATTATTATGTTTTTGTGCAGAACTATATCAAACGTAAGTCGGTTGTCGCTGATAAATCTGTTGAACTTTGTCCCCACGTAGGTCGAAGTCGCGGACGCCGAGTTGGACGCGACGATGAGCAACAAGTTTCTGATAGTCCGAGATAAGTAAGTAGAGAATACGAATTAAATACGGAAGTGGAAAATCGTTCAGATTTCGAATTTATCTTATAAATATACCGACAACGCGTTTCGTCCAAAAACATATGAGCATTTATAATATGTGCGCGACGTCCCTCTTGTCGACCGGCGACCCACTGTATAATAACACCATTACGTAAATTTTAAATGTTGTACGATTGGGTTACATAATTGATTGAGGACATGGTCTTTTCGTTTCTTTGCCAGAAAAATCGTTTTGACGTGAACGAGAAGTTTCGACTTTACTTCGAATACGAAATGGCGATTTTCGACGTTAACGAGACAAGTAAGGTCAAGGACTCCGTCGTAGTGACTGACAAGAAACAGTTGGAGCAATGTGCAGACGAACCAGTTAATAAGTTCAAGGTATGTACCATACTTCTAACATATTTTTTGTGTTCCATACTCAATTTGTAGTTTTACACCGTGGGAATTACGGATAAATAAAACATCATTACCTGTTCGTTTATTAATTATTTCTATTTTTAGGTTGAAACAAACAATCGATTTTGGAGTGTTGGTTCCAAACTAGTGGTCTGTCGAAAATTTATTAACGACAAACTATCAAAATCTGAAGATGTGAATAGAATTGCATTTTATAATAAACTCAAGTGTCTAGCCAATTGTGAAAAAGTGACTAGTTCCTGTGAACTCAGTAGACAAGTAAACATATTTAACTATATCTTGCACTGTAAATACTGATATTACATGAATTACAATATTTATTTCGTTAGTTAAGCCAAGAAGAGGTATTATGGCAAAGTGAACTCAAAGACTTGATATGGTTAGAGTTACGTGCCAGACTAACTGACCGAACCATAACAAGTCAAGACAAGTATCTTTGTGAAGAAAGAAAAAATATTCTTCATCTACTTGATGAAATTATGAGTTTTAGGTTTGTGTTATTGTACTTGTTAGTAAAAATTAATAATCTTAATAATTAATATTTTATGTTCAAAATATAGTTTTAGATTTGATCAATTACCTTCAAATAAATCTACATATTGCGATGATGAAACTGTTAAGAACTCAGGTACAATTTAAAATTTGGCGTAGCATCTTTCCATTATATTTTCTAAGCTCTACATCTGTGGATTCTATAGATAATGATAATGGCCAATGTTTAAGCCGTAGTGGTTGTCTTGGATTGTTCTGTTCTCAATGTATTGAACAACAAAATTTTGCTTTATGTCAAGTACAAAAATTTATGGAAAGATTAGAATATGCTGAATCATTATTTCCATCTAGCAGAGCATTTGCTGTACAATACCCTTTATTTAAAAGTCCTGAATTCACTAATCGAGTAAAGGTTAGTTTTTCCTCCATATAAATTTTATTGTTTATGTTAAATAATTAATTTCAATATCATATTTTTTTTAAAAAAATCCAAGAGATTTGTTGTTTGTTTTTCAATTTCAACTTAAAAAATTAAGACATTTTCAATTAGTACAAAACTACTATATTTTAGTATTCATTTTTAATTTCAAGCGTTTAAATTTTTTTAACTTCACAAAATATTAGTAATTTTTTACTGTAGCTTATGCTAAATTTAAATTTAGAAAAAGTAATTTCATACCAATTCAGTATTTGTATTGCTTTTCCTATCAGCTTAATTAATAAGCTAATATATTATAATGCTAGTTTTAATATTAATTTTATAGAAGATTATTTCTCATATGTTAAGAGTGTATGCAACATGTTTTACATTTTCATATAAGATATAATTTATTTATATTTACATTTAAAATCAAAAATAAAATTGTAGTACATAGACTTATTTTAATATTACCTGTGTGATTTAACTGTAGGCAATGTGCGTATGGTACAATATGACTAAGAGACAGCGGTTGATGTTGTTAATTTTGGGTCGCCATTTAATGAAAGAAGAAGAAGTCGAGTTGGAACCATTAAATAATTTGATGGCAAGTAGTAGTTGTTCAAGTTCACCAAGGTAAATTAAAGAAATACAAATATAACTTTATTTATTATTTGTGTATTGTTTTAAGCTATTTGTTTTTATTATTAGTGTATCCAATGATAGTGGTAAAGGTTCATTGACAATTTCTCCTAAAACTAGTGTTGGTAAATTATTTTACATTGAATATTGGATTGAAATTTATATTTTTATTATAAAATTAAGTATTCATTAATAGATACTTTTGTTTTTTAGAAAATTATGAGTTTAAATTTCAAAGATCTAATACTAATTATCGTGAACCAATATCATATAAAGACCTCGATTTATACAACACACAACCTATAGCTCATCTAAGACAACATTTCTTTCCGTATACTATTGGAATTAACTCATCCTATTATGCATCTCAAACCTACAGGTTAGTAATTTACTAAATGAGATTATTTTTAAATATTTTTTTCATTTTTTTTTTATTTTTTTATATTAATTTTTTAGGCAATTTATTGCCGGTGTATTAAAAACTAAAGGTTTAAGAAAAGCATTAAAATTTCTTGATGAATTATATAAAAATGTACTTCGTAAAGCACATTTAACGCTAAAAGATCAATCAGCAGTGGTAAATTATTTCAATTAAGTTGTAGTAATTATATTTTTCTAATTGTATGTGTATTTTAGGAAGAAGATAGTAAACATCTTGTGCCTCATGATGAAGAATTGTTGCGTTATGGTTATTGGTGTCAGGAGTCAAAAGAATTGAACTTACCTTCATATAGAGCTACGTTTATTTTTTTGTCTCGTATTCCATTGGATCTTATTCATGCTTATCTCCGTATGAGACTTGATACTAGACCAGAAAAACCTTCAATAATGAGCATCAGACAAGTAATGGATTGATGTTTTTTCTTACACATTAATCTAATAAAATATTTTTTGTCTTTAGTTGACTTGCGAGTTAAAAGAAGGTCTAATGTTGGCTGTTGTACATAGAAGACGTTTTGTTCGCCATATACAGTCAACATTATGGTCTGATATAGATATTGGTATGAAGATATTCAAAGAACGTATTTGCCATTTTGATGAATGTACTAAAACTGTTTTGGAAGTTTATTTGGGCTACATGGAACAATGGGTAGTTATGATGGGCTACTGTAAAGCTCAAAAAAATATAATAGAAGAAGAATGGAATGATATGAAAGTTATTATTCCACATATTCCAGATGCTATGATTATGGTGACAAAAACATTTTGGTATGTTTTATTTATATTTTTTATATGTCTTAAAGTTTGTGAAAGCAGAAAAATTAGTCAAGAAGATCATGTATATTAATATTTTTTACTGCATTATTTGGATCAATTAATTAAAGTTATTTTTCTTTTTTATAATTTTATAATATAAAAATTAAAAATTTATTAAACCTTTTGAATTATTTTACTTTTAGTCAAATTGCAAAGTGTATGTTAGAAGCAATATTAAAACATTACAAAGAGAGTACTCTCAATCAAACAAAAATGATAGTAAAAAATGTCGATCATTCTCAAACAAAGTAACTATTATATGATAATCAAAATCATGTTATTGTTCTTTAACAAATCAAAATTCGTAAATTTTAGGCAAAATTTATTGGCCATATGTAGAGAATTACAGAATTTGCTGAGCATATTCAGAGAAAAATCTTTTTTGGTGATGTCGTTGGTTAAAAATATCTGCAAAGATATGATTGAGCAGTATAAAAAAGATAAAATGAACAATGTGAAATTTGATGGTCCTTTATCTCCTATTTTGACTTCAATGATACCTTTAAAAGTATGTAAAAATATCATGCAGTATTTTACTTAAAATCAATATTTGCTATAAATTTATTTTATTAAATTTATTATGTATAACAAATAAACATTTTAGTAAGTATTTTGTAACTACAATAAAAATGTAAAAAGCACAAATTTACAAAATAAGAGTAATATGTGGGTTCTTTATTTTAATAATCTATTAAAATATATTATTACGTATTTATTTGCATTTAAAAATTAACTTTTATAGGAAAAATTATTGGAAGTTTGTCGTTGTATTATAGAAATAATTACTTCTATAGAAGAAGCATTTGATACTTGTAATAGTGATATTGATGATGTAACTCTTGCACCTCGTATTCGGGAAGTTTTACATCAAATGTATAAGTTTGGATTTGAGGTATGTACATAGTTTATAACCTTTTATTTTATATAAATATATATTTATATTTATTAGTATCATAAAGAAGCTAACAAAATTATGTGTGGTCCTTATAAAGACCAAGCAACTCGTTATAATGTATCTATATCAAAATTATGGATAAATTTTGTACACAAACGTTGTGAGCCTGGTCGTGGTTTGAAACCCAAATGGGCAAATAATGGTTTAGATTTTTTGCTTAGTGTTTGTGAACCTCAAAATATTGCTGGACTAAGTGATGAAGATTTTAAGGTACAAAATATTATGAAATATAATATTATGTAATATTATTATCCTTTGAAATAATATGATCTTTTATTTAGGATTTTAAAGTTTTGATAGAAAACTGCATAGAGTATATTATTGGGAAATTTGACGATTCATCGTTGTCGAGTACTAGTACTATAAAAAAAAAACGTAATTCTTCTGCAATTGAAGGGAGAAATAAAATATTGAAAACTGAAAAAACTATTAAAAATGGTAATTATAAAAATAATTTCAGTATAATCATATTATGTGTTATTAATATCTTATTTTGAATAAAAAAAATTGAAGACGTTGAGAGGAATGTTCGTGTGATGGATGCCGTTAATAAATTAGATCATGAATTAGAAGAAAAGTTGAGATCGCAAGAGTTAATTGGTCAAATTCGACATGATTACAACATTGAACGTATAGAATATGTCCGTCCTCGTCCTGTTCATTTTAGTTGGCAACGTGGCATAAAAATAGGACAAGGCCGTTTTGGCAAAGTCTACACTGCTGTTAACAATGAAACTGGAGAACTGATGGCTATGAAAGAAATACAATTACAACCATTTGATCATAAAGCCATTAGAAATGTAGCTGTTGAATTGAGAATATTTGAAGGTATTACTCATCAAAATCTTGTTAAATATTATGGAGTTGAAATACACAGGGTAAATATATTAAAAACTATTGTTTTGAAAATTTAAACTTATAATAATATTTATCATATGTTTAGGAAGAAATGCTAATATTTATGGAATTATGTGCTGAAGGAACTTTGGAAAATCTAGTTGCTGCAACTGAAAACGGATTGCCGGAAGCTCTTTTACGTAGATTTACTAAACAGTTAGTTAGTGGAGTGGATATTTTACATCAAAACGCTATAGTTCATAGAGATATTAAAAGTATAGCATCTAATTTTAACAACAGTGATAAACAATAATTTTTTTGTTTTTTATGTAAATCAGGCGCAAATATATTTTTGACTGACGAAGGTAATGGTTTAAAACTGGGCGATTTTGGTTCTGCTGTAAAAATGAAAGCGCATACTACTATTCCTGGTGAACTTAAGGGCTTTGTTGGAACTCAAGGTAACTATACTTTTGATAATATAACTGAAAAATATAATTACTTGGAAATTTAAAATTTAATAATATATTCAAGCGTACATGGCGCCAGAAGTTTTCATGAAATCTAATACAGATGGACATGGTAGAGCAGCGGATATTTGGTCAATTGGATGTGTTATCATTGAAATGGCTTCGGGCAAAGTATTAACAAAATAATGTTTGTATGTGTTCATAAAAATATTAATTGTTACATTTTTATTTCCAGAGGCCTTGGCATGAATATGATTCAAATTATCAAATCATGTTTAAAGTTGGCATGGGTGTTTCGCCTACTGTACCAGATACACTAAGTGAAGAGGGCCAACATTTTGTTGATAGTTGTTTGCAACATGATCCGTATGAAAGGGCAACTGTTTCGGAACTATTAGAACATAACTTTATCAAAGTATTTACTATTAATTAATAATGTTTTCTATTTATTTATTTATTTAATTTTTAAAGGTTACTTCTGAGGAATGTGTTTCCTGTCGAATATCTTCTACTGCAATGCTTGAAGAATACATAAAATTAGGTTTTAAACGATAGCATTCAGTATTTTTAATTATTATTTTAATTACAAAATTTAGCGGTTCTGAAACTTTACATTAAATTTTCCCAAAAAATTAAAAAAAGATATATCATGCTTCCCATGAATAAATTTAATTAAATAAGACACCAATTGTAATAATTGTAAGACTATTATTTCAATATTAAAATATTTTTATTTGTCTAAGAATAAATTAATGCTATTTTTACGTCATGTTACACAATTTAGGAACCACTACTATAGTTTAATATCCACTATATATTAATTTGCTAGCTGCTTATATTAAGTAATTATAGATAGAATTTTTTCTGTAAAAAATAATAACCGAACCATCACAAGTATAGATCCTCCGAAAAGTCAAATTTTTTTGTCTGTAATAACATAGTCTGAGTTATGTATATAATTTATGTTAGTTTAGTCAGTAATTCTATTGAATCAAATTATTTATGAATTCAGAAAATATATACCAATATTGGGTGACAGTATGACTGGACTAGAATTTTAAATAATCTTAGTTTTCTTAGTTACATCAATTTTATTGCCAAGGATTACAGAACAAAATATATTTTACTATTGTACATATAATTGTTTATTATATATTTTACTACTTAGTTTTTTAAGAATTAAGTTTTAAATGTTTAACTATTGACATTTTTTCTCTATCAAAATGATTTTAGTTTGTATCCTTACATTATCGTATAACAAAAACTGTTATGTTATATTGATTAAATCTCTAAATTTATACAAGACTATAATAAACTAGCTGATTTTTATAGTAATTTTAACTGAAAATTAAACTGTTCAGATTCATTTAATTATGGTAATCATTAACTTTTAACTTTTTTGATTTTTTTAACATTCATAGTAAATTATTTTTATATTCTTCTGAGCCGTCCATATTAATGTAATTTTCATTAAAAATTAATTTATATAAATGTTATATTTAATTTAACATGTTTATATTATAATAATTATATATGTAATTGTTACATATTATTTATGTATTAAAAGAAATGTATCATTACTGAAAATGTTGTTCCTTTATTTTTACAATATAAATTTAATGCATTATGAAAGCAACCAAAAAATTTTGTTAGCCACAAACCTACCAAATTAAAACATCTAATACCTTCTCCGACACTTTTTGACAAGAAAATGGAATACCACAAGGGTCCACCATCTCAGTCATCCTTTTTCTAATCGTAATCAATGACATCTCCAAAGAAATAACATTCTCTATATACATAGGCGCAATTTCAATAGAAAAACTGAGTGTGCTTAAGCTCTGTATTTATTGGGTATTTAATTTATATTAAAACTATAAGAATTTAATGAGCCGATTTTTAAATAAATACAAATAAAGGTTTCGGTTTTAAAATTAATTTAAATTAAGGTTTCGGTGAACTTGACAAAATGTGAATTGACGTTAGTCGAGTAACATTGTTTGCATTTATATTTCATTACAGTTTTATATTCTAATAGTCAAATGTCTGATGACAAAAATAAGTTTTTGATACATAAACATGAACATTATTTGTAATTTGCTTTTATTTGCTAATTGTAAAATAGAGGGTGCTAATACCCCCAAGCCCTCCCATATTTGCGCCTATGTCTACATAGCAATGCTATATGTTGACTTCTCTATTTTCTACCGCAGCACAAACTTTATCTCCATTCAACATTTTATAAAATCTCAAAAACAAGCTCATATCTTGGTATAAATTATCCGGGTTACGCTTTTCCTCATCAAAAACTAACCTCTTAATCTTCAATCACAAGAGAAATACACAAAAAATCTCCATTAGCCTCGGAAACTGCATAAATATAGGACCAACCCAGAGTCAAAGTTTTAGGTATTACCTTCGACAACAAAGCCTCATGGATCCCACATATCCAAAACCTAAAAATGTACACTAATCCTAGACTTAATATGTAAAAAATACTGGCACATACTACTTGGAGCGCCCAGTTTTCCACTCTCTTGAAAATACATAAAGCCTTTATCCTTTCCAAACTGAATTATAGAATTTCATTATTCTCCACCGCCAAGTTTCTCGTTTCAAAATACTGGAGACTATGTACAGGCATGACGAAAAGGCATGATCTCCCCCGGGCTCGGAAATTAGGGACTAAAAATTGTTAAAAATTAAAAATAATTTATGATAAGAATTTAATGAACACTGCAGAAAATATTATGATATACTTCCCAGACCCGGGTTTCTTTCTCCACGGTCCTGACTACACACAATACGGGAATTCATCTATCCATCGACGTCTTCCGCATCAGCCCCATTCCAAGCATCTAAGCAATAGCAGGCATTCCATATCTAGCAGCACGATGGGAAGAACAAACGTCCAAAACAGCAGACAGAATGTCAAGACTCCTACAAGATAACACATATCACCCATAATACACAATGAATAAAACATACACAAAATATGGTTTCGAAAATATAATTCCTGCCAAAACCCCTTTATGTTCACACTGGTCATTCACAATAATTATCAATCTGGACCTGCACAAATTTTCTAAGTCAACATGCCATAACACATTTAAAAATCTCTTCAGGAAAAAACTCTCCCTTCCTCAAATTTATAGATACTTATACATGGAAGCATCTCTTTCGGAAGGTCGAATTGGTCATCATTCGTTATGACAACTAGATCCAATGGAGACTTTCGGACAAATTCTCCATATATACGCTGAAGCTCTTGCTATTTTTAAAGCCATCAAATACATTATTTCAGAAATGAACTATAACAATATCACGATTTATAGTGATTCATCATCTATACTTTTGTTAGCCTGCAAAATGTTCACAACCCTACCGATATTGCTAGGAAAATTCATAATGCTCACTATAGAGCACAGTAATTAGGCAAAAATATATTATACTCTTGTTAGATTCCCTGTCATTGTAATATCGATGGTAATGAACGTGTGAGACAAGGCCGCCAAAAAGGCTCATACATCTATTTAATATTCTCTCTTCTTACAGCAACATAAAAAATGTCATCGTAAGAAATACACTTCACAAATGGGAAACAAAATGACCACGAAGCTTAATTAAAAGATCAATACTATCCTGGACCTTCCCCATCATTACCCCAAGAAAATATGGGTCAGTTATTAACAGAATCGGACATACACGTACAGCACTTTTAATAAGTTAACTAGGCGACACAAATGTCAGCCAGTGATTATACTCTGTCGACAATATTGGAAGATTAGGTGAAATAATGCGAAACAAACGTATAAACTTAATCGTACTACGGTATTACATTGACTATTATGAAAAAAACATTTTTTGTCGCTCAGTGAAAATTCACAGCACACATATGCGCATTTAATGAAGAGGACCCCTCCCTATTTGTATATGCTCTGGGGTCCCTCTTACCATCAAGCATATACTCACTGAATGTAGCACATGTAATATGGAGATACAATGTTCTATAATACTTTGTAATATTTATTATCTTTAATTATGTTTCCATTTACTCCCAATTATACATTTTTGTTCATCTAATTAACCTTAAGAATTTAGTTTACAACGTCTACCTATAATTTACTTCATCTCTGAGTAGGATGACTGAATTAAAAAAAACTCTCTTCTGTTTTATTTTATCCTAATAGAATTTTTGTGGTTATTAGGGAAAACAGTGATTTTTGGGATTTATTCCTAATGAGATAACTTAGTGTGTAATTTTTCAAATTGGCAATAATACCGAAACTCTACCGGGTGTGCATTGCACACCCGCCTCCACATTATATTATTATTTTTTAATATAATACAATACAAAGTTTTTAGAATCTTAAAAAGTATTATAGAACATTTTAAAATTCTACATTTATGGAAGATAAAATTATCAAAACAACTCTAAATGTTATGTGAAAAGACTATTTTTAATGACAACAGACAGATTAGTTAAGAAATTAAATGGAAGTCAAGAAAAAAAAATATAATTATTCCTTTTTTTTTTAAATTGATTTTTTATTATAGGTAGAAATACAATAACTATCGTTTTCCACCAACACGAGGAGCGGCCTTTTGTTGTACAGATTTGGTTTGCACTTTCTTGGGCTGTTTCTATAATAATTACAATTGAATATTAATTTTGTGTCATAAATAATAAAAATTAAAAATAAATGTTTACTTTTGTTTTAGTTGGAGGTGGTGGAGGTGGCTTCTTAGCTGCTTTAGCAGCCTTCTTTTGGTCCTTTGCCGCCCTAAGAAGTAAAAATGTTAACAGTGTTGCTAAGAAAAAACTAAGCTAAATCTAAAAACTATATTTATTAATAAATTGTATCATGAAATATTGTAACACTTAGAATAATTATTTTAACTGATAGAAAAAACTTGATAATACATGAATATTCAGACTAAATGATTCAATTTAGTTTCTTTTATTCTTAATTCAATCAGCACTTCCATACCAGTTATGATATAACTAACAAAACATTTTTGTATACTTTTGTTGAAATTATATTATTATTTATTGTTTTTTAATTAGTTTTGATATGAACTGATGAGAGTTGATTTTATAACAACTTATTCATTCAATAATTACTTTAAATATTTTAACACCTTAACGGACATTTACTACTATAGCAGTCATGATATCAGTCATTATTGCGGGAGTGCTAAATAACTACGTAACTGTTATAACAGTTATGTTCATAAAAATTAAATGTTTACAAATCTGGTTTAGACAGATAAATTTTTAATTTAATTATTAAAAAATTAATGTTTCTTGGTCTGGACACTGCTTAAAACTTAGCCAGGAATCAAAACACAAATGGAAAAGATAAATCCATAAGTAGAAATTAATTTTGAGTTCTATAAATTAGTATAATTTTCTATATAATATTTTAAAAACAATAAAAATTGTGCAAAATAATAACATGCAACAAGATACAAATTCAAATATCTCCATTTATTTTGCTATTACAATCAATACAGAACAACAGCTATTATTTATAGTTATTTTTCTTACCCTTTAAATAAGTTAATGCAAGTTAATTAAACTGAAGAATAACTAATCAAAATTTTATTTTATAAAATGTTTACTATGACAGGTACTTTCATTATATCATTATAAATCGATAAAGTGTTTAAAAGATATGTTTAATATAACCTTGCCAGTATGTTTAAATTTACATCAAATCCAAACACGATAAACAAATAGAAAAACTTAGTGTTATTAAATGTTAGAATTATAGACATAGTCAACTTTATAAAATAATATTTATCTCGACAGGTACTTTCAATATATCATTATGGATATAAAAGTGTTTAAAAGATATGTTTAATATACCCTTGCCAGTACGTTTAAATTTACATCAAATCTAAACACGATAAACAAAGGGAAAAACTTAATGTTATTAAATGGTACAATTATAGACATGAATACCTATCTTTATAAAATAATATTAATTTAGTAAACGAAACAAAATAGTTTATGATCTGTATAAATTATTAATTTAAACAAAAATCCTTCATCAATGGTTTTTCATAATTTTAAAGATTCACTATAGCAAATACTCGAATTAATAATTATAAGGATATATACAAGGATTTAACCCATTGTCACTTGTACAGTTTCCGTTGTCTCCTTTACTTGTATAGGATATTTATTTAACAAATTTTGTTTTATATATGAGTAAATAAATTGAAATCAACCTAAATGTAAATCATGTTTTTAAGTTTTATTTAGACCAATCAAAAAGAAAAAAAAATGTATTGTACTCGTAATAGTTAATTTATATTAATTATTAGGTTATAAAAAAAATTACTAAAAATATTGTAAATACAAATTAACACATGTGATGCAAGCTTTGTTTTGCAATCACAAGTTCTTTAGCAGTATAAATAATTACTCTTTGTTTTTAAATTATGAATGGTTTCTTGTGTACCAAAATACTTTTCAATCATTGTTTTGACTTGTATACAAACTGGAATAGTAGCAAAAGTTTCTAAGTTTTCTTGCATTATTTCTTTATCCAATAATTTAAAAACAAGAAAAAACTGAAAATGAATTACTTACAAGGTGTAAATTATTTCAAAACACTGATAAGGATATCACTTTATGAAAGTCAAACATACGAACAAAATACCAAGATAATAAAAAATCAGTCACATTATATTAATTAACATATTATTCAAGGCTATAGAAATTTAAAAATATATAAATTTTCACGATAACATAACACTTATAAAATTATAAAAATAAGATGGTGTCATTATTTACCCTATGCAAGTGATGATGGGTTAAATTAAACACAAATTACATCAAAAAATAATTTCTAACCAACTTTTTAAATATGTTGCAGGCTAATAACTTAAGCATTCAGAAAACATTTACTATTAATAAAATAATTAAACTAAGAATCCTTCATCTATGGTTTCTCATCATTTTGTAGATTCAAGATAGCAAATACTCGAAATCAAAAAACAATAATCATAAGAACTCTACAAGAATTAAAATGTATAAATATAAATGTATATTGATTTTTTATTTCTCAGTTAATTGTATTAAATCATTAAGAAATTCAGTAGTAGCAAATACTTTAAATAACATCATAGAAATAAAAAAAATTTTAATTATATTATTCTTGAATATAAAAAATGTAAGAAATGTTCAAAAATGGCATTAAATTATTAAAGGATAGAGTAATATATTCTCAGTGTTAATTTTGTTATCAGCAGAATCAACAGTAGCAAATACATAGAATACAATCATTGAAAAAATGTAATTTGTTAAAAATAATGTTTTAAATTAGATTGAATTATTCATTACAGTGTACATCTCTCATCAATGATTTCTCATCATTTTTAGATTCAAGATAGCAAATACTCGAAACAAAAAAATAATCATTATGATATACACATCAAGAATTAAAGTATATTTATTATTTCTCAGTAAGTTTTATTTAATCAATACAACATTCAGTAGTAGCAAATACTTTATGACATCATTTATAACATTTAATATGCTAAAAAGTGTAATAAATTTATCAAAATTATCTTCTCAACAATAGTGTACATTTCTCATCAATGGTTTCTCATCATTTTTAGATTCAAGATAGCAAATACTCGAATTAAAAACAAATAATCACAGAAATAATACACTTATTGTTATATATTAAATTTAAAACTTCAATTCATATATACAAAGAATACTATTAATATATATATGCATTTATCTGTTAGTTGACATTATAATTTATCCCCAATATTATAATCTACATAAATTGTGTTCATTTACAGACTAGGATAGTAAATTAAACCATGTAATGGAAAAAATGTAGTTTTTTTCACAATATTTTTTAAAAACAATACTAAATTCTGCTAAATAAAAAAGTACTTTTGTCCAATAATAGTAAATACTCATTAAGGATAAATACAAATTGTTTGTTTCTATTTTTCTAAATTACTGATAAAATTTACATTTAAAAAGTAACACATAATGTACATCTCGACAGGTACTATCATTATATCATTTTAAATCGATATATGAGTGTTTAAAAGATGAATTTTCATGTACCCTCGCCAGTACGTTCAGATTTAAAATTAAATCAAAACACGATAAACAAGGGGTTAAATATTAAACAGTTAAATTGTTGAAGTTTAATTGAAGAAACTAAAATAGACTTGGAAAGAATTATTATTTTTAACTGAATCATCTTACTTAATGGCAATATCTCTTTGAGCCTTCCTCATCTCAGGTTTCATGTTCCTCTTGGCTAAAATGTCAGTGAGAGAAGCACCAACGATAGCACGCTGGAATTTTTGAGTTCTCCTGGTCTTCTTTTTGGTTGTTTCTTCTTCTTGACCTTTTCGGTGTTTGCGTCTAAACAAGACGACTTTATTGTATGCGAAACAAATGCAATTATACTCAAAAATGTTGACGTTCTAATTACCTGTACAATATCGTCCATGTTACTTTACGGGGGTTCCTCTTCATCAAGTGAGCGCGTTCGCATTTTGAGTTGAGGAACGTGTAAGTCTACAGGAATAAAAGGAAAAAATAACATACAATTATCATTCCAATGGACATTAATCGGACGCCGAAATTCAAATGTTTACCTTTCCGTCGGCTTTGATCAAAGTCTTGCCATGTCCTGGGTAGATTTTGTACCCGCTGTAGGCGCACAATCCGATCCTTTAGATGAAAAAGAACAAAAAAAAAAAATGCATTAACCATCCGATTTGCGCGAATTCGAAAGCGATATCCGTACGTCCACAGCAGTCGGACGTTCAGAAATCGCGGTTAATACGTGAGGCATAGCTAAACCATAAGCATTGAGCAATACGAATAGTTGGTAAACAGAAGTGCAATCAAGATTAAAGTGGATAAAACTTACTTCATTTTGACGAATTTAAGTAAACTCCAAAACCATAAGGGACGAAAATGGTTAACAGACTAGGAGTACTAGGACACGGAACCACGATGAAGTTAGAACCGCGTTATCGTGTTTGGCGTACGGACAGTGTCACCAACAGTGAGAGCATGCATTTTTATTTTGTAGTTTTATCGCTCAGCGAACCATCACCTCTCACCACAGGAACACGTTCATCAGTGAACCGTTGATCGTTTAATTAAATCAATTTTCCTCGTCCAGTATGCCTGATCGAAATAACTCTCTTTTATTTCTTAGCTTAGGTTAACTAGTTCTTTTGATCCCGCTCATTAACTTTTAATCAATTTGGTTACGATGTCACAAAAAAACATATTATATTATAATATTATAATATTCACCATAACGAACGGGTTGTTTCAGTAATTTACATTTTGCCCGTACGACTAAATTTGTTTTGTTCATCAAATTAAAATAGCACATGGGAACTCTCGTAACCAAATTGAAAATATTTAATCGCACATTCACACAACTCTTACTTATCAAACATTATTTTTGGTAGAAAGAACCCTAAATAGGAGCAAGGGCGTATTTTTGTTGAATCTATTGTGGGGGGGAGGGGAAACTAATTTTTCTTCAATACAAACTTAAAAATAATTTATAGTTCATTAGTTCACAGTTCATTCAAGTGAATAGTTCAAATGAACTTATGAGTTATCTCTAGTTTATAATCTACAGCTCATGTTTCTGTTATAATAATAACATATTATAATGATAGACTAGTAGGTAATTTATATTCTTAATTATTTATACATTACATTTTATAAGCAAATCAATGTACAGTGAAACCTTTATATAGTGGACAGCTAAGGGGAATTAAAAAATGTCCACTATAGGGAGAAACTATAGAGAATTGGTTAAACATTGTACATGAACATATACATTGGAATATTAATTTATTATTTATTGTATATATATTATAATATGTATGTATTTAAAAATGAGTATAAAAATGCTTATAAAAGTGGTCAATGATTATGTACGGTTAAAAAAAATCTGTAATCTTTTTTTGTGTAAACTTTTTCTGCTCTTCACAATGAATTTATAAATTGGCTACCATTGATAATGCGATCTCATTTTTTTTATTTTTAAAATATGTTTTTAAATTATTTATTGTTTTCCAAACTTCTTCAACTTCTTCAGTTTCTTTTTCACTCAAATTTTCTAAATTACAATTGACTGTATCTGATATTATTAATGTATTGTTTTCTGTAAGGATATTATTATCTATAGAAATATAGTCCTCAATTTCAACATTACTCGCTACAAGTTCTAAGAATATGATCAAATTTGCAACATTGTCATGTTCCGTTACATATTCTGCAGTATCGAACGAAAAATACACACAATGTACTACACACAACTAATGAATGAACACATAACCGAACCATTAATCATTTTTCGAAAAGAAATAAGATAAAATATAGACGAATGTATAACAGATATATATATAAAAATATAAATATTGTATTTTTATTTTTCGATATGTACATGTATTGTGTTCATTTATGAAAGGTAATTTTTAATTTGGTACCAGTTTATTCTGTCCACCTCCACTATTATAAGTGTCCACTATTAAGATACTATAACTCCTATTATATGTATACATTTTTGCCGGAGAATTTAGAAGTATCAATTATTGGGAAAAGTCCACTATTAAGAGGTGTCCATTAATAGAGGTTCCACTGTATTATACTCAACAAAAATACGAGTCACGGGGGGAGCAAATACCCCCTTCGCTCACCTTCTCAAATACGCCCTTGAATAGGAGGTAACTTTTCCATATTAATTTGAAAAGTATATTTTAAAAGTACCCCAAACAAGTGATGGTGATAGAGTTTGCGAGGCCCTAGGCAAAATAAATTTTGGCTCTTATAATTTATATTAATAAAATATTTTAAGTTCAGTTAAATCAGAACCGCGGGGCCTTAATTATAATTTAAGGCGCGTGGCTCTAGACAACTGCCCCATTGCCCACCCCCTCGCGCCGTCCCTGCCCCGAACAGAGTATGTTGAACATAAAGAGAACATTAATGTCACCTAGTAAATATTGGTGCCATAAATTAGTAGGTGGGTGCTAGCAGGACTTAGCAAATGAGAGGGGAGGGGGCATGCGAAAGGTGCCTAGGTACGTCTATGACGCAAAAATTAAAAATTCGCATTTTATGTTTAGTTACAGCGATTGTTAAAAATAATATCTAATAATTATAATATTTTTCATCTTAAAGCACGTTTTGAAGTTTCACTCCAGGTACAATGTTTGGTTGATACGACCCTTGGAAATTGATATATAATAATTATTAAATAAAAGTGTTATGGCTTAATCAAATAACAACCCCAGCCACCATAAATTATAAATAAATGTACATAGTAAATATGTTAAATTCGTGAACGAATAGTTCATTTGAACTATTCACTTTGATGAACTATTCTAAACTGTTTCAGTACCTGTAACTTAACAGTTTACAGTTCGAAAAAAATTAGTAGCGTTGTAGAAATGAAATAATTCGCGAACTACTTTAAAAATCCTCTGTGGTTCGTTGTTCGAAATCCGGTAAATTTAAACAGCTGTTTGCAATTAGATAGCAAATTCTTAATTGCCCAAAAATAGTGTGAACTACTACCGAACTGTGTACTGCTGTATTATCCACAGAAATTAACTAAATTTTCAATCTCTAGTACATAAGGCCGGCCGCACACCAAAAGAGCAAAACTGCTTAAAGCAGACTGAGGCAGCTTTATTATGACTAATTAAAAATAGAACACATGTAATTCAGTGAAACCCGCACACTGATAAGTCATAGTCAAAACAAGACATTTTTACTCTTCAGTCAATTCTAGTCATGACTAATCGTGTTTTATCGAAATAGAACATGCTCTATTCCGTCAGTCAAAACAAAACAATTTTTATTAGTCAAACCGCCAGTTTGACCGGTATCAGATGGTTAACTAGTTGGATACCACTGACGTTGCAGAACGATCGTTCATTAATATAATTAATTATAATTCATAATTAATAATAATATATGATCACTGTTTTTATATATTATATATATATTTTATATATTATATTATATATTAATATATATATTTTCAAATCTTTTTATACATTATACATTTTGTATACCTATATAAATTTTTAAATTTTAAATCATCATTACGTAATTCACGTAAAAAACATTTGATTAAATTATTTGTTGTACGTTTTTTATTTAAAGGATGAACCCACATTCTTTTTTGTTTTTCATCCTCTTCGATATTTAACAACAAAGACCACAAAATAGGAACAATAACTTCTTCTTCGTCGGAAGACATGTTGGTGACTGAAATACTATACTACAATTTTACGACTAACGATGACTTACACAGTTTTGCTTTTTTGGTGTACGACCGACCAAAACAAACTGTTTTTAGTTGTTTTTAGACAAAAATGACTAACGATGACTAAAGCAGTTTTGCTCTTTTGGTGTGCGGCCGGCCTAAGTCCGTTCGCGACACAAGATCCTTGGTATGTAATTGATAACAACAAATCAGTAGCTTGATTAGTGTCTGACAAGTGGATCAAAGTCGTGAACAAGAATGATTTTTGTCACCCCTGGTATCGCATGCAGTTATCTTTTGCGGCATCAGTAAAATTTTATTCATATTTATTTACATTATTTTTTATATCATATTATTTATACTTGTTTTATATTATCTGAGCCATCAGGCCAGAATCATTCTATTTATCTCATCTGAGCCGTCAGGTCAGAACATTATTATACTTACATTCAGTTATATGGTTTTATAGTAATATTATTATTACATATTTTTTATAGTTGTTATATCTTATGTTTATTGTGTCGTTCAGACCAATAATTATTATTATAAGTTACATGAAATAAATGTTATCTAGTTTATTTAACCACAACACCAGCCTTCATTAAAATTTCTCAATATCGTCAAAGACCGCCTAATAAGCTCTTTGCCTAAACAAAAACAATAATTAAATATATAGTTAAATATCGTCGAATAAATTATTATTAACCAGCACGAAATGTATGTTCTTCGGTTAATTCTATCATCATGCCAGTGCTGTATTTAGGATTATGCCACACAATATCATATAATTTTGCCGTCTTTCTTTAAAGTGCTGAACTGAAAACAAGTGTCTTCAACAGTTTATTAAAAAGCCGATTGCTACACTCGCTATTCATTTTCCCCAATTCAGTACACAATATACATAGTATTTGTAATTATTATAAAATCCAAAGTTAGAATCGAGTTTTAATTACCTAAATAAAGTTAATAGTAAATTATCTTTTATAAGACTGGTGTTACTCATGGGCGTCATTTGGAGGGAGGGACAGACTATGGCAAATGCCCCATTCTAAGAAATTTTAAAAAGTCGGCAATTCTTTGTCCGATGATCAAATGCTTAAATCGGTAAACAGTAAATTTTTATTTACTATATTGTATTCAGAAATCAAATAATATTCTCTTTTAAATATACGTTCATGGTTTATTAAAAGTTGGGAAACACTGGCTCCTCCCCAGTTTATGACAATCGTTATTACGCGAACCTTATGAACTTTATTTGTGGTATATTATATATTTCTATGTATGTGATCTTTATGAAACAGTTTTCGTGAAATTGATACCATAAAAATTGAGTTCATAATCTATAAAAAACCGTTAAAATCGTTCCTATTCACCCCAAATTACGGTACATTATATTTGAGATACAATTTAATGTTTTTATAAATAAGTTCTGAAAAGTATTAAATATACAAATACCTAATAAAATTATAAGTATTTATTTAATTAGATTTATATTATTATTCCATTAAACCTATTAGTAGGTAACTTATAGCCTACCTATAGAATAAGTAAATTAATGTTTTACTATCTTTAATGTTATTATTTAATTGGGGAAATTGAAGCGTTTTATGATCTTTGTTTATCATCATGATTCATTAGCAGGGCTCGGGACTTATAGCACTTAAAATCATTAATATAAGCGCTTAAAAACATCATTATAAGCACTAAAATAAGCATTTAAAAAATTTAAAATAAAGAAAAAAAAAGCTATAAAATTTTAACTAAAAAATTAAATAAAATAAAAATAAATCTTCACTTTAAGAATTTTATGGGTTTTCTAAAGGATTTTTCTGAAAAATAAAATGTAAAATGTTCTTTCTGTTTTTGATCATTCTGACGTTTGTCATTCAACTATAAAAACTGGTCAAATAAGCAAAAATAATCAGAAAAATAGGAAATAAGCATTTTTTTTAAAAATTGTTGAAAAAAGCAAAAAAAAAAGCACTTTCAAATTTCATAATTATACGTGTTATAATTTGACATACATTTCTATAGCACTCTGCTACATTTTAAGTCTATCCATAAAAATAAGCAAATGTTTTAACTTTAACTCCCAAGCCCTGTTCATTACTAATCCTTACATGTTTTGTTCCGAAAAAAATATTTCATTGTCCATAAATATTAAATATTTTAATATATAGGTAACCATATTTTTTTAAATATTATGAAGTCGGCAAATTTAATCAGTTGCCTCACCCTTTCAAAAGTTGAAATGAAGCCCCTGGTGTTACCCTTCGGTATGAATGTCACATCCCCATATAAATCAAAATTAAATCAATACCTATATCTTAATAAAATACCATGTAAAAAAAATTACTTTTTAACATATAGGTATACATTTTATACACAACAAAATTATTTAAATTATTTTTCATTAAAAATGCAAAAAAATGTATTTGTTTGTGTTTTGAATCATTGTAAAAATTTGTCATCTACTTAAATACTGCAGGTTATGCCTCCCCGAACTACCCCTTAAATACGGCTTTGGATCATAAAACCCAACTCTAAATTTTTTTTATACAATTTGTAAATCAAGCAATTTAAAAAAAATAAAAATATTTTTTCTATTAATAACTAAAGGTCAACATTAGAGAATTAGCTACTTATATATGTTTGTTGATTTTGGATATTTTTCCCGACACTTATTCACGGAACCTATTAACAAAACGGAACACGGATACCTAAGTCAGGAATTTTTAACATTGTCGATGTCATGGTTTAATCAAAATTAATTTAATATCTTATGCCGTAATGCTATGGAATCAGCTTCTAAGTCCTTACTACTTTTATGTAACACAGAAATGCCGTTTTAAAAACGATAAATCGAAACACACGCTTAAGATTTTCTTTACTTTAAAATTTTACGTCTATTAAATATGTGTTGAACTACTTTACCTAAAATTCGCTTTCTAAAACACAGCATCAACGTTTATTGTTTAACCAATATTAACACAAGACATTTAATTAGAGAAGTTCCAGAGCATCAACTTTTTACTCAACTCTTACAAGCAAACATTAATCACTGAAATAAATAAGTTGTTTATCATTACTTATAATTACTCTTTAGTAGGGCTATGAACAGGATTTTGTTGTAGAAATCTTTATACGATTAATTTAAGCGATGAAAGGTGATTAAGTATTGTTGAGTTGACTATTTGATTAGATTTTTTGTAATTAGGAAATAATAAGTTCTTTGAAATTTTCACCTCCATTTTCAAATAATTTCTTAACATAAAGAGTTGGAGGTAATCCAAAGGTGACATTTATTCATACAAACCATAACTTGGAATTTCGATAGGACATTGAAAAGTGTAGTTTTTAATATTATATTTAATAATTTGGCAATTATGAATAAATAACCTTTATAATAATTGTATGAGCAAAATAAATATGGTCATTTTGCTATGGTTCGAACAATCATTATATTGGTAAACTTGGATATTTGAACAATTTAATGAATATGGACAATAAAACCAAATTTTGGTATGCGATAAGTAAATCATTTTTGTTCAATGTTACCAAATTTTAACTTTTAACATTTAATAATTTAATACAAGTTTGTTTAATTGTTATTCTTCTGTTTAAATTATCTAACATTTTAATGTTTTATATTATAAGTCAAAGCAATAATTATCTAAGCCCAATTCTTTTTATCATTTAAATTATGAAACTATTGATGAATATTCCTTATAATTTGTAATGTTTTTAAAAGAGAACAATAGATAAAAGTAAAAAATCTCTAATATAGTAATACAAAAAACACTAGATTATTATGTAAATATGAATTAAAATTGTAACCTAATATTTTACTAAAGTAATAATTTAAAAAAATACTTATTTATTTCAGTTAATTAACAAATAAGTAAATAATCGTTAGAATTATACTTCAATTAAGATGCTGAAACGTTTTTTATATTGATGGAAAATAATAAGGAATAAGATGTCAGTTTCAAGAAATACAATCAATTGAATTTTGAAATAAATAAAAAGTCAAATGGGTTTAATTCAAAATCAATAAAATATGGAAACAACAATTGTTTAATAGATAAGCTAAAGTTAACTAGGAGAAGGGTTATAGTAAGCATCATTCTCTGAATCATCATCATTGCTTTCCGAATTATCGTTTTCATTGTCATCAGCTTCATTGTTCTCTGGCATTACTTTTTGACCATCTTTGATCCATTCATCCCTCGGAACACCGCACTTAGGACATATACCCAACATGCTAGCACACGGCTGACACACAGTGTGGTAAGATTCTTTGACAGTCTTGTTATGGCATTTGTTACAGTTTTTGGCTGCTTTTAGCATTTTGTACTTTTTGTATTTGATTTTCCACTCCAATATGTCTTTACATCGAGGGCACACGTGGTTGATCTGAATGGAGTTCATACGTTTGGTGCGCACGTTCGTGTCGTGCAAATTGTTTTTGAACGCAAACCGATTCTGATGTTTCTGTGGGCGATTGCGGAAGGCATTTCCTTTCTGGCTACTCATTGTATGCACGCTGTAAATGCAAATGAAACACAGTTATTTGTGAATAGAACGCAATTCGAAAAAGAATCGTACTTGGAAGGATTACCGGAACGGTGGAAAAAATTTTTTCTTGACGAGAAAAGTTATCAACAGATGAATAGAAACCGCGTGTGGATCATATCTATAGTGAGGATACGAATGTTGTTGTTCGCCGGTTATCAATAGCTTGTGGATAATGTTGATAAGGACTGATGGTGTTGATAGAGCGAAGAACAAAATTCTACATTGAAAATAATTGCAAAATATTCTCGGTTCGCGCACGGCAACGCCATATTATATTCATAATATTCTTTATTAAACATGAGTCCGAACGCCAGTGGATTTACGCGAAAACGAGTTACGATTTAAATGCCATCTGTTGACGTTATCACTGAAAGCTTCGATTGATAGAGATCCGTGATAAGTCTCTGTTGCGCACAGCGTGCAGTCGCGAAAAAACCGACAACTAGTGTCGGTATTGTATCCTCTGGGTTGAATTTTGCATCCATCGTAGGCAAAACTACGCGTGGCGAAGTCGATCGAGTCTTCGGTATTGGTTCTGTCCCCCTCTCGCTGCGTACAATATAACGCATCGAAATGGGCAAGTCGTCCAAAGACAAACGTGACATTTACTACCGGATGGCTAAAGAACAGGGATGGCGGGCGCGCAGTGCATTCAAGCTGATGCAGATCGACGAACAGTTCAACATATTCGACGGTGTCACGCGAGTGGTCGACCTGTGCGCGGCCCCGGGCAGCTGGAGCCAGGTACTGAGCAAGACGCTGTACGCGGACAAGTCTGAGGCCGAGAAAAAGGACGTGAAGATCGTGGCCGTGGACCTACAGTCAATGGCGCCATTGCCGGGAGTCATCCAGCTGAAGGGCGACATCACCAAGGAGAGCACGGCTAACGAAATCCTGTCGCAGTTCAGCAAGCAGCTAGTCGACCTGGTCGTCTTCGACGGCGCGCCAGATGTCACTGGCCTGCATGATCTCGATGAGTATATTCAGGCACAGCTGTTGTTGGCTGCTATGAACATCACCACGTATTTACTGAAGCCCGGCGGCACTTTTGTCGGCAAGATATTTCGTGGTAAGGACGTGACCATTTTGATAGCACAACTGGAAATATTCTTTCGTGATGTTACCATTGCCAAGCCGTGCAGTTCTCGTAATTCTAGTATTGAGTCATTTGTGGTGTGCTGCGATTTCCAGTTGCCTGAAGGTTACAGTCCCACCATGGCTAACCCTTTGATGACCAACGATACAACACCTTGGAATGAGATGGAAGTGCACCCTGTGATCACACCGTTTGTGGCTTGTGGAAGTCTAAGCGGTTTTGATGCTGACAAGACCTATCCTTTGGAAATCGATGGCCTTGAATATGTACAAAGGGATCCTGTACAAGGACCGATATCTCCACCGTATGAAAAATCAAAGCCTATGATAACTACTAAAGGCAAGAGTGTCATTGAAACAGAAATAGAAAAAGCAACTGTCTCAACACAACTGTTAAACTTAAATTGAAGGTACAATGGCTTTAAACAATAAATTAAAAATTTTTTTCATGTTGTTAAATATTAAACTCATACATTTTTATCATATTATGACTTGATTTTTACTAATTAAATTATTGTTTTTACTACCTAACTGAAGTTTACTTCTTTACCTTTAGGTTCAGAAAATGTATTCATATTTTTGTTTTGATCAGCAAATGCAATAAGAACTAATTTCATTTTGATTGATAATAGTTCTGTGCCCAGTCTACTAACAGATCTCTATTTACGTAGAAGGTGTAATATGACAATGTTAAGTTACAGTTAGGAACAGTAGGATTTAGCTAAACATAGAGCCTCAGCCAATTATAGATTGAGAGAAGAAATAATTGTATTACTTATGTTATACTCGAAATCATTATGGAATTTACAGAGAGTATTTAAATATATATAAATCATGGAACAACATTACAAGATGTGACATTAAGATGATATTGTAAATTATTGCAGGTGTGTAAAGAACTGACAAAAAAATTCCATGTTATCGGCATATGTAACCAAATGTTTGTACCGCGCACTCAACATGTACTTTTTATAAATATAAAGACAATACTAGAATTTTAGAGAAGACATTATAAATCATCATATTGACCCATTGTTTTCTATTGCCAATAAAAGGTTTATCAAAATTAATAGTCGTTATACACAGATTACATCAATAAAAATAATTATCTAAAAACAATAATGTATTCATTAATTTTTGGTATTTATTTGACAAAAGTATTATTTTGTTTGTTCATATTGCATAATCTATGTACATAAAGAATTTGTAATTTAACACATAAAAAAGAAAATGTTTGAAATAACTTTCAATAAATTAAAAAAAAAAAAAAAACACTTGTAGAAAATGTAATATATATTATTCTAAATACCCAACTAAAATACTAACAGTATCATTATTAACCTATTGGTTTGCTTTTACCATAAACAACTAATTATATTTATATTCTGGCCAGTTCTCATTTATTTTCAGCAAAACCAATCTAGTTTTAAGTCAATCATATTCATTTATATATTATGGTAACAAAAGAAAAGAATAATCGTAAACAACAACAAATTGACTAAATAATTTTTTACGAATATTAAAAATCGAAAATCCCAAAGACTAAGAAACATGGACCCACAAATTGTATTTAAGTACACTATCACAAAATCTAAATTAACACTGGCTATACATAAAATAGCGCATTTTAATGAAACAGCTTCATTTCTTAATAGTATTGAAACATTAAATGCTAATTCCAAAAAAGAAAGGAAAATGTAATATACTTAACAGTAATACTATTTTGATTTTTAAATTCAATGAAAATGCCCAAGAGTTTTAAATGCAAGTTAAGAAATAATTTAAATAAGTTGTGACTCTTAATGTTTGGTATTTCAGTGATGACTAATCACTTAGTAAAAGGTAATCAACTTTAAATGTAGTATTTAAACAATCAATCTTTAACATTCTGTACCAAGTGTCCTCCAAAACTGTTTTTGTTGTTTAATTGATTTCCTCCATTGTGTTTTCCCCGAGTCATATTAGCGAAACACACAGATGAACTAGAGCTTACACCAGAATCCGAAGACTTCTCACTAGAAGTACACGAATTTAGTTTGGTAGCTACTACAGTAGTGTTAGAATTTTCACCAAAGTGCTGTCGATCTTCAACAGACTTTTGTGTTTTTTTATTGTACTCGGGTGATGATAGAGGAGCATCATTATCATTGTCAGTTGAGAAACGTGGTTTAGGTGTCGGCTTCAGTTTTGAGAAGTCAGCAGTAGGAATTGCATGTTGACCACCATTTTGAGAGTCATCGCAACTGGGATCTGTTTTGTTTTCTTCAGTACTGCTGGAATCGTCTTCTGGTGCTGTTAGAAAAATAATAAAAATAAGGTATTACTTATGAGACTAATTCAAATTCGACAAAAACAATTCTTACATTGATAATCGTGCATAACTTGAACAGCTGCTAATATTTTTGCTCTTTGTTCTGGAGCCATTATGCCCATATAGTCCAAGTCCGCTTCACGTATCTCACAGAATGATTGCAAGTCTCCAAAACCATTCATTGCAAAAACAGACATTTGTTCCTAATCATCATTGATATTTAAATATAGATAAAAATGATCAATTATTGGAAGAGAGTAGTAAATAATTTCAAATACCTCCATTCCTATGGTCCTTAGAAGTTGAAGTAATGACTTTGGTCTATGTTTTGCACTTTGTTTGGTTTTTTCAAGCCCATTGCTTTCGTTGACCAATGGTTGGACCTTCCCAAATTTAAACGTACCTATTTTATCACAGCCTTTAAGCATTCCTTTCCAAATTCCACTGGCATTCATGGTAGTCACCAATATTACATCTCCTTTCTAAACCGTACATTTTTTTTATTATTAGAATATTACAATTTTAACATTTTGGTTAAATATGTGTACATTAAACTTTAATGCATCTTTGTCGTATGGATTCGGACTACTGTTGGCAATGGCTCGAGCCAACGCTAAAACTTGTAACTTCTGTGTTCCATCACAAGAAGTCGGCGATTCTTCAGAACTTTGTGATGCTGCTCCCATTAAAGCTTGGATGCCTATAACATTTATATAGTGGCGAATAAGTAATTAATATTTTGATCTGTATACGTCTGGAAAAACTTACTAGAGGTACTAGGTAAACTTTCGACAGAACTATGATGTCGATGAGACCTTTGATTTTGTTTTAGCTGCTTCGAGGATGCTTTAGATCTATGATGTTGTCTCTTACTGTGACGCTGAAAAAACCAAAAATGATTCATATATATTTTAATAAAAAACAGATTCAAGATAAATAACCAAAACATACAGGTGATTGTAGAAACGAATCGTCCTGATCGGCATAATCTGAACTGTGGCCAGGAGAAACTGTGGTATCCATCCCCTAAACATAAGACAACATACGTTAATCTAATGACAAGTATAACATAAACACATCATTACATTCATCCTGAGCCTATGGTAAAGTTCTTGATCATAATCTGATCGATTGGTTTCCACAGATAATGTCGACATCCTAGAACTGTAACATCACAACAATCAATTTTGGTTTTGATTAACGGTTTTTTATCAGTTACATTTTAAAGTTATTAAAAAAGAAATAATTTTATTCAGGTGATAGTTTATTAGTTTCATACATGTACTTGCCCTATATCTACCATAATTTTGTAATAACTAATATATTAAATATTTTATTTTACTTTATTACTTTTATTTTTTTTAAGTTCATAACTATTTCAAATATCTCATATATTAATAAAACTTGCCACTTGGTGTAGTGTTGGACATAGAGATGATGGTCATTTTTATCTGCAAATTGCAGAAATATGAGTACATCAGAATTAAAAAGGTTATTTTGTTAAATGATATAGTGTCTTATTAAGAAAGTGTCTCAGCTATAAAAAATAATAAAATATAATTCACTTTTTTAGAAATTATTATACAATTATAATGATGCCAATGTATTTTAGAGAAATATAAATATATTAAAAGGATTTCGAATTGTTGACATTGTGTTTCTGTGATTCTTATAAGCTGTACAATTGAAAATAATTTATCAAATCGTCAAGTATTTAAAGAATAACGAAATGGTATAAACGAATGTTTGACTGGTAAAAAAATAACATGTTGTTAAATATTATTTATTATACCTTAGTGATACATTGGTAAATGTTTTTATAAGAATAAAGTTGTAACACATAAATGTTTAAGTTGGAAATCAGATAAGATGTACTTTACGACCAAAACCATTAATTTCTTAAATTGGAGTTTGATACAATTTTTCTTTCTTTGAAATGTCATAAGTTATCAGAACTCTCATTCATTTTATTTAAAAATACGACCAATATTAATTGGCACAAACCATTGCTCAAAATTTTTTAAATTTATTTCTATAACGGAATCACTTTATCTAAAAACCGTTTAAATTCATATTACTCATTTGAACATATTGTTTTACATTATTCGTAAACTTTTATGAGATAATAAAAATTAATTTTTATGCAATAACTAAAAAATTTAATTTTCTAAAAAAAAAAAAATAGATAAGATTCAACAATCGACTAAAGTAAAAGTTAGATGAGATACAGGGAAGAGTGATTGATATAAGTGCATTTTTGTTCTCGTATATTTGGAATGGATATATCATTGGCTTCAAAAAAAAAACTATCCTGAGTGAGGGAAGATGAATGGATTAGTTTCAATTCAATAGTTAAATAAAGTTTAAATCACTATATTAGTACAAATATCTTATAAATTGTAATCAGGATGCTTTAATTTATTTATTAATGAGAGTAATTATCGTTACAGTTTCAAGTGCATTTAAATAGTGTGGATTTTACTTAAATATTTTTAAAATTACAAAAATCTATAAAATGCTATTATAAGTACTCGGTAAATGTTTCAACTACGAATGATACTTTTAAAATAACAACAAAATAACTTATAATATTTAATCAAAATTCAATGATGTTCAAATAGTTCAAACTTTTTTTTTATGAAATAAAAATCAGAAAACAATGCGTGAAAAAAGTATAAAATTATTTTATTTTTGCAAATTAATTTAATTATTTAAAAAAAAAAATAATTTTAACAAATGTATTCCTTCTAAACTCGGTATTATTGCAAAACAAATATATAGATTAAGAAAAAAATGTAATTTGCTGTTTGTATATTGAATACATATAAAAACTACCACTTTTATCTAAATTACCCAGAGTATTCACTCATGGATTATTTAAATTCATCCAATAAGTAACATAAATTGTGATTTATAGTTTTTAAATAATAAACTCAGCACAGAATTGATTTTCAAGAGTGCCCAATGAACACTGTGTGCTTACATTATTTAAAATGTAAAATTACTATACACTCGTTAAAATACCTATACATAAACTATGTACCCGAAATAGAGGCCTAGGAGAGGGTGAAGTATGTTAAGTTTTTTTTATTGCCTTTATGATTTAAACAATGAACAAATAAGTATACTCGAAAAAAAAATACCGTAAAAATAAATTTTATCTTAGGACCGGTAACGACAATTCTCCGGGGACGAAGTGGCACTATCCCAGTTTAAAAAATTATACAAAGGTAGACTAAATATAGATGATATATTATGTAATAGCTGGTATGTATAATTAGAGAAAACCATGGAGTACTGCAGTATAATATGAATATAGATTGCTCTGAGGCCGTAGGAAAAAAATAAAATGTTTTATGCAAGCGCAGAATAGACGGTGATGTTGACGTCGATTTAACGCATAGTTCACTAATTATTGTTGATGAGATTTTCTAGTGCATGTTGATTATATATAAATATATATATATATATATATGTATATATTATAATAATATCGTGTCTGGGTTTCATGCCGAGAGGAATTTTTTAGTGATTTATTGAAGTTGTCGATATAATACATACGCACTGGGACAATATAAACAGACAAATCGGTGACATTGCGTATTACAGTATACATCGTCCCTACGTCCTATACCAATATACAGACGAGCACAAACTCAAATTTTCGACCCAGCCCAAAATGAGTTGGAAGACCCTTTTATTAAACATAACAACCATTTTTCTTCGTACGAAAATTCACTAGTATCAACACGAGTATATATTATGTAGAAAAAAGCTAATCTATCACGATAAGATGGGTTCAAAACTCATGTACGTATTTCAACACATAAATGAGCAACAACAGTCCGTATTTCACGGAAACTGATATGACGGAGTGTAAAATCTAAGGAGTGTCCTACGAGCACATAATATGTATATTACTCGTATGTCTTTCTTCTTCTCCTCCGCCTTTCTCCCAACTATTCGGGGTCGGCCATCCTTATGCTAAACCTCCATTATTCTCCACTTTCTACATCTCCTACGCACACACCAACAGCCCTTATATCATTTTTAATCGTATCCAACCAACTCTTTTTTGGTCTTCTTCTTCCTCTTTTCTCTTTAACGTTCATTTTCATAATAACTTTAACTGCTTTAGTTTACTCTCGACTCTTCACATGTTCAAACCATCTAAGTCTATTTTTTCTCATATTGCTCACTATCGACGTTTCACTAATACTATCTCTCACATATTCGTTTCTTATTCTATATTATTTTGTCACTCCACTCATCAATCTAAACATTTTTATTTCCGCAACACTTTTACTCTGTTCTATTCTCCTGTCAACCGCCTAACACTCTGAACCATATAGCATAGTTGATTTCACTAAACTCCTGTAAAATTCATTTTTCAGTTTCATTGGAGCTCTCTCGTCACATAAAACGACCGAGGCTTCTCTGCATTTCATCCAACTACATTTAATCTTATGATTTACATCCATGCCAAAGTCTTCGTCGTTTTGTACAAATAATCCTCAATAATTAAAGTTTCCGACTTCACCTATCACATCACTGTTTATTGTAATTGGTCTCTTCATACCCTCCAATTATTGGTATCTTCCTCCTAATTCATACATAATATATATTCCCAAAGAGTGTTCCGTGGGACAATCTCAAGGATTCCCCAACATAAATGTGGATGTTGAGAATAGTAACTATAATAATTTTTAAAACATTTTTTAGAATATTTGGGTTTTCAATAAATAATTAATTAATTGAAGTAAAGTGGGACTTAGAGACATTTAGGTTCCACAAAATACAAACTATTCCTAAGGATTCCGTGATTGTAAAAATTCGGGAACCACTGCTTTATATACTCTGTTTTATTTCTACTAATTCTCAACCAATTTCCTTCAAGGGCTAACCTTCACTCATCCAACCTATTATTAACTTCTTACAGATTTTCTCCAACAAAACAATATCATCAGCGAACATCATCCACTAAGGTATCTCGCTCTATATGTCTTTCGTAACTTCATCCATTACCACAGAGAACAAATAAGGGCGCCTCGTATTTTTTGACAAAATTTTCATACCGGTTATCAACCCGACGGAAACTCATTTAGTCGCCTCTTACGGCTGACTGAGGAACAATTAAAGTATTCTAATTCGCTTATCCATAGAAGGTTTTATGTATAAATTATGTATTATGTATAAATGTATGTATTATATATTATATGTTACCAAACACTTTGGACGTCAGAAGTGGCGTAGTCTCCGCTCTCCCTGTTCTGCCTCTTCAACGGTATTATAGTGGTCGGTTGACCGGAACCGGAAGCCGGCAACAAGAGTCCTGTGGCCGTCTGTCGGTAATGACTGCTGCTGCCGCCGCCGCCACTGTGATGGCCTCCGGACAACGATATGTCGCCAGCGCTTCGCAACGATATGACAGAACCGGAATTGTTGTTTCGCGGCGTTCTGTGTTTGGTGTAACCATAATAGACTCTGAAATGTATAATTATACTTACTATTCAAACTAATATTTTCTAGTCTGTTCATTATTATTGAGATTCAATTATTTAAATTTTTTTAAATTTTATACCATTAAATTGAAATTGGTTGATAGATTTATTGTATATTACTGTATTTTTGTTCAATTGGATTAAATTTCAGTTATATACCAAATGCATTAAATCGTAAAATGGACAAATGTTTATGGTAGTGCATGTATGTATCATATGGTATTAACACGTACTGTGCACTTATCATGGAAGCCGATTTTGACATTTTTTAATGACGTTTTTTTATACAATTTTATGATTTGGACGTGGATCGTAAATTATTTTACATAGTTCCTATTAAAAATTCAGAAATCGATCCACGGTTTTTAATTTTATTATTTTTTTCATAAAATAATAGCTTAGTTTTGTGAATTAAGACTTATGATCCTAATACTGGTCTATGCATACAACATTTTTTAATTTAATAATTGAAATATTTATGATACAATTTTAGACAATATAATAAATTATATATGGTACTATACAACTGTAAAATTATAAATGTACGAATTAAATTCGTATTAAATTTATTTTAAAAGATTAAAAATAATATAACTAACGCCCTGTACCTGAAGTGGTGCAGGAGGCTTTTTGGTAATGTTAAAGAGTGAGGAATAAAAATTCCATAAATTTTCGTCAAATGTTCAGACAGTAGGTACATAAATATATTTTATATACCTGTTGTTGGCTTGCTCCATAAGCAGTTCCTCTGGATCGGATTCATATGGTGGTTCGTCATACCAGTGCCGGAGCATGTCATCGTCGTACATGTACGTCTCGTCCGAATTGTTGCGTGGAGGTTTTCCAGGTCCGGCGCCGCCATATCGCAAGAGCCCATGCCGTATCTCCCGGAGGATGTCTTCGTGTTCACGGTCAAAACGCTCCTTCTTGATCATAGCTTCTTGAACTTTCAACTAGAACACACATATGCCACGTTCATAAATGTATAATCCGCGTATATCAAGTTTGCAACAAACACCATTTACAAGTAGTAGCAAATGACTTATATTAAAATATAAGCATGATCTAGGTTCTAAATGTGTAATAAAACTAAATTTTAACAACATTGCATTTTTCATAGACAAATGGATAGTGAGATTTTATATTTTTATATTAAATTGTAATATTTCGAATCCACAAAAAGAGGAAATATTTTTGAAATTATAAAAATACATTATATGAGATTGGAGGTACTAGAATAAATAGGATAGCATTTACATACAAATCAGACTATTTACAGGACGTAAAGACGCTTAATTTACACACTGGATAATTTCGCGTAAAAATAGATGTTAGAGGTTATATACCAGGATAATTCATAGCATATCGTGTTATTTTATTTTCGCATGTATGACATACGCACACCAGCATACATATAAATATAGATATATAATACGCGAAACGAAAGAATATTATCCGCCACACGTACTCGCCACCATAACTTCTTCGTCTCTCCACCATCATGCACGCAAGCATATAACAAGATTAATGTTACTCCAGTCGGTAGTAACGGCCGCCGCACACGACTTTTAATGGGTCCCTGCGGGTCGTGAAACGCGAGCGCATTAACAAACCGTCGTCGAGTCTGCGAGTGCTCGCGTATGTGTATGTATAAACGTGTCCGATGCAAGTCTCACAAAACTAACATTTATACTTTTATAATATATATATGTGTGAATGTATTCAGTGAGCATGCTGAGGGGTGAGAAAAAAAGGTAACAGAGGTATCGGCGATGAAAAAAAGGGACAAACATTAGCCTTCTCTCTAGCACACGTTCACAAACACACACACATAAATGTATACGGCCATGGGTTAGGTTAACACACCGACGACTTGGCGTTGAAAAGTTTTTAATGACTCGCCTCGGCTTCCACCGCCTCGTGCACGCGCCTCCTAATCTGACTTTAATGTTGTTTATTAGTGTACGCCACCGCTGCGGTTCATTCTGCGTTGAATATTGAACTGTAAACGATAGATGCATGTATATACATACACGATATATCTGTACTATATACAAGTAGACCAGGACTAAGTTCATAATAAATAGGAACCCATTGTAACGGAGATTACACGAGATTGACTCGTAAAAAATAAAATAATAATAATAATAATAGTATAAATAAAACAGAATACATATAGTTGCTGGAAAAAGTTTCGACAGAAAAAAAACAGATACGAAACAGGAAACCGAGCTTTGTTGTAGTTGTTTATTCGGACAGAAGGTTTTTTTATCTACACAAAACGGACTCCCCGATCGAAACGATAAATTATTATAGTCAAGGGCGGAGAAAAAGGATATCGGAAATCGTATGCGCTTTATTTTTGCCAAAGTATTATGTGCCAAACGGTATTTTGTATAAGAATACATATGATAAACGCACATGGATTTGATTGAAACGTACAAACAAAGGAAAAAACTTAAAAAAATAAAGTTTCCGATGAATGTCTGGACCTAGGTTTACTTGTCAACAGATTACTGGACATATGGTGGACAGGTAAGATTTTTCATAAGAATTATATTATATTCTAGTTATTTCAGTGTTTGAATTTATACGAGTTTTACATAAGAAAAATATTAAAATCACCCCTGAAAAATCACAATTTATACAATTTGGGCATACATTAATTTATTAACTAGTCTTTAAAGTTATTAAAAACCCTATTATTTTTATGTTAAACAAACCCATTTTGTTAACCCATTGTGAACAAAACTATCGTAATGAGTTTTTGTGTGAAAGTGATAAATGTTTAAAATATAATTTTAACTTTAAAATAATTTTTAATAAAATAAATTCAATAAATCAAACTTAAGGCATGAAAAAGGTTTGTAAATAATAATACATTTTTCTTTTTTAAAAAAAATATTCGATGATATTTGGGATAAAATAACCAATAGTAAGAGCTTCAAATTACAATAACGGAACGTTTATTTTATCTTTTGCTTACCCTATGAATGGTTTCTTCGAACCCAGATGGATTGCCAACATGGTTTCTGCCGGGCATTGGTACACAACGATTTCTGTTATCCATCATTGTCATACCCAAACAATCGGGTGTGTTAGCCTGAAACATGATTAACTCACTTTACTGTAAGTATATTTATTTAGTTTTATTAAATAACTTTATAATAGTGTACAGGATTGATATTTTACTCATATTCAAAATTTTACATAATTTAATTTAATAACATGTCTTAAATATTAAAGCTATAGAAACCTTGAAACGATTGAATTCAAAGTTCAACCCATTCATATATATATACATGTAGTAAACATATTTTAGATATCAAAGGAAATTAATTGAAGTCAATTTCAAAAGTCAATATTTAATGAGATTTGCTATGTAAAGAAATTAGTAAAAATAAATTATTAAAGATTTTAATAGGTACTTCAAGATAAATTATGATTAAATACTAGACAAGACGTATATGATAATTTTATGTAAATACATTTTTTGAAAGTCTAATCAATTTAGATTAATTTAATGAAGATTTAATTAATTCATAAATATAATATATTATTAATTTAATTGGAAAATAAATGAAATTACATAATATACAATTAACTTCATAAATTATTAATTAAACATTTTTAATCAATTTTAGAACACTAAATTATTAAAGTTATTTATTTATTCTTTTGTCACCCTTATATAATTAATTTAGCGTGACAAACAATTTGGGAAGCTAAAAATGCAAATATATTCTGATTTGGATTAAAATCAATTAAAATGAATGAAAAAAAAATACTTTAACAGTACTAAGTAACTTAGATAATATTGAAATTTATAAAATAGTAACGTTATTAGATATAAAATGGCAACAAGCCAAAATGGGTTTCAGGCTCGTTGGGATTCACGATAAGCGTATATACACCTACACACCGTATAAATCAGATAATGCAATTTATTTAATAGCACCACAACATATTTATTATATATCATATATTATTTAATATTACATTGAAAATATTTATGTAGCAAATTAACAAACAATTTAAATTAATTAGAATGAAATAAATAGAATTTGTATTAACATTGAACTTATTCATTATACTTTTATTCACATATATTTAAATATTATTATATTTATAATGTATTTATTGATGAATTTTCTTGCTTCAACGAATTTAACTAAACATTTATTATTTCACCTAGATTACAGTAACACTGGAAATGAACTATACTATTCAAAAAACGCAAAAAAAAAAAACAATTTTAAGCCAGGAAAAATGTTGTATTATTAACAACGTGGCTATTGAGAAATGTATAGGATATGTATAGCATTATTAAAAAGCAGCAGCGTGTTATAAAATTCAATTTTCTATACTAAATTTTTAGTTTGTTATTTATAAATTGCTTCAATACAGATTTTAATAGTAGGTTGAGTAAATTTTTTTATTTCTAACTTTCGGATGATAGTTTACACAGGTTAATTTAGAAGGTAACAACTTAATCATTAGTAAATTTCAATGAAATCATCATTCGATCAAATAAGTTTTCCGACACCGCATAAATATCTTACTCGTCACATATTTAATTAATTTGTTCAAAGTATCACTGTAAATTAAAATGATAAATTAATTATTCTTTATAGAAGAACTCATTGCATCAGTATATGGACAATTTTTGCAAATCTAACAGGTATTTCTCAAATTTGATAGTTATGTTTAAATTGATTTTGGAGTAAAAGTATATCTGAAAATAGTTAGTATTTACTTAAATTGTTGAAATATGTTTTGTAAAGATATCATTAGTAAGACGTTCTGAAATTATATACTGGCTTTTATGGATGAATGTAATAAGTAAAAATAAACATAAACGTGATATGGGTATTATGAAATAATCTGCATATATAAATAAATCTATAGTCCATCGATATAACTACTGCCAACAGAACAAGATGTAAAAAATGGGAACCGTCTACAGGTTGCCTTAGGGCTGGTATACTACATAGTTTATGAACTGGTAAAAAAAGGGATGCATAGGTGGGTTGGAATTCTACAAAAGGATTGGAAATCCAGAAGTTATTGCCAAATCTTTAGAAACATAGATCCCTCATCCATAAGCATGACCAAAATAAATAGATTTCAAACAGCAGGGATGAAAAATAATCTGGGCCATGTAGAAGCAGAAAAATTTGGAGAGACCTCTAGTGATTTCTCGCCAAAATCGGAAAAGAAATAATGCGAACGATGATAACAATCTATAAGCATAAGCAAAATATAATATAAACCAAACGTATATTAATAAAACCAGTGATTTTTAAAATCGTCAAAAGATTTTTTATGAACTGTATTTTTTTTAAAACCAAATGGCGTCTTCTGCAATGTGAGAAAAGCGATTTTTTTTTTTTTTATTTAATAGTATTTTCGATTAAGATTTAAAATACACCAAAAAATATTAAAAATAAATGTATATATTCATGAGCTTTTACATTAAAATTCAGATTTTTGATAAAGTTTTCGGATAGAAGAAAAGTCAAGATATGCCACGCTACCAGACTGCAATTACTAATGGTGGTTGAGGGGAAGTCATTGAGCTCATTACATTGAACGGTTAGAATGCGTTCTTTGACAGGAAGTTCGTGTACCGAAAACGATTCGGACAGTTACACCAAATAGTAACATATTATATATTATAAGGGTGATTACGCTTTTTCGATTAAGTACTCGTTATGCTATATTGTTTCACAATCAAGCACCATATGCTATGAACACACACACACACACACACACACACACACACACACACACACACACACACACATACACACGCGCGCGCGTGCGATGTATGTTACAGTATTACCCAGGTTGATCAAGATAAACGCGGATGAGCTATAGGAGCAACCCCGTGTATGAACTCGTATAATATATACCACAATAAATATATATATATTTCGAATTAAATTTATTCAAGTGTGAAATGTCATCGTATACGAATGAGTTTGGTGGCAGATCATATCCAATAAGCTTAGAGAATTAAATTTAGGCGATGTCGTAACGATCTGTTCAGTAGATATCTCAAATATAATATAGGTACAATGTACCATATTGTAGTATACGCTAGCATGTATCAAAAAACATGTATATTTTTATTATTTTGACAATAAGCGCACGTGCGTACTAGGTGAAAATGTATGTATGTATTTTTTGCAAATTTGATTGTATACCCGACGACAGCTTCAAGGGGTGTGTAAAAATAGAAAATCCCAAGGGATTTATTTATTTATTTTTTGCATCCAATCCCCTTTTGCTTTGACTAAATCCGGTGCCGGTTCCTATATACTGATTGGCATGCAAATACATAGACACGTGAATCGGTATTCCACTGGCACATAGTCATCTCCGGCTGGTATAATATTAATATGTTGATATAAAATAGAGGGAGTTGATTAAATATTTAACAAGCAATATGGAATACATTTAATTTCATTCATATTATTATTTTACATTGTTTTAAGTAGTAAATTATAATTATTTCTTTCAGTTCTAACGAATCAAAAAATTTATTGACTGTACGCACATACGGATGGTTTTTTATTTTTCTGTAAACATTTATTTTTTTCAGAAAAAAAGTCTGCAGTAGATTTCTAAAGTATAATAAACACTGAGGAATAATGTTTATTTCATTATACAATAATTTACACATATTTTGATAAATCGAGTAATTTTATGTATCTTAGACAAATAATAAAAAATTAATTAGTAAATTTAAGATAATTACAAAAAATGGAAAATTAAGGAGTAATTAATTTAATTAAATTATTTTTTTTTTGCCTTAAAAGTCTAAATTAATCTAAAACTAATTATTGACTACTATTCATAGTTGTAAAGGTTTTCACAACATATTTTATACCAAACTTAAAATGAAATCATTTTTAAGATGTTTCAAATAATACGAATACGACTAACTATAACCTAAGATCAGCATCAGACAGTTTTTATACTTTTATCAACAATTGGATTGTTTTTTCAACAAAAAGTTTTTACATTTTTTCGGATATTTTTACATTAGATATTTATTGCTCACAAATCTTATGTATAAAATTCTCAATCGTTGAGTGGTAACATATTTGTCTCTGTTGACAAAACATTCAATGCTTATATTTATGTTGAGTTTTCTAGTTCGGTGAAGGGCATTAAATACATTTACAAGTACGAGAAGTGACCAATAAGTAATGAGACGATTTCAATAAAATACGTATATTTAAATATTAAGATACATCGATATGATCCCCTTCAGAGTACTCTCCTTCCATCCCTATACACTGGTTCCAATGTTTTTTCTAGCTATCATAACATTTCTGGAAGACTTCGACTGGAATGTCCTGGAGTACTCTCGTCACAGCGTTCTGGATGTCAGTTATGGACTTAAAATGCGTTTCTTTCACGACCAATTTTGTATGAGGGAACAAAAATAAGTAATAGTGACATAGGGCGAAATAGGGCGCTTTTGGCAATACTGCGATGTTTGTAGCGCAAAAAAGAACAGTTTCATTACTTATTGGTCACAACTAGTATATGAATAAAGGCAGTAATATAGCCGTATTTCGAAGTGAAAATACCAATGCGAACGCTCCTCCGATGAATAACAATGACGAAATAAAAGTCTACCAACTTGGCCTGTTTATCAGCTCCAATGAAGATATCTGGCGTATCATTGGTTTTCATAATTATGGAATGAACGGTCAACATGGACAGCAAGTATTTTTTGGCAACAAGACAGAAATTGATAGTGTTATAAATCCACCAAAAACTATACTCATTATACTTTTAAAATTGTGTAATCGTGCGGATTATTTTGGTGTCTTTGTACGAACATAACTCTATTCCGAAGTAACACGCCATTTTATATGGGCTCAAGCGAAATAATGGATGCTTTGCAAGAAAAGAACACCAGTTGATGTGTGCCTAGGTTTATTCAAATTAAACACTTTGGGCCGAGTATATACAGTCAATCCAAGATAGACTGTCAATGCAGGTTTAACTGGTAAATCATATCACATTTCGCTTATTCTCGCCAAAATAGGATCAAATTATCACATCGCATTAGCCGTAGCAAGTTTATTGGATGGAGGCAGAACAGCTCATTCAGCATTTAATCTGCCACTGAATATTCAGAATAATCTAGATGCAGTGTGCAACATAAAAAAACAATCGCCCTTGGCCAGAGTGTTGAAAAAATGCAAAATTATCATCTGGGATGAATGCACTATGGCATATAAACATTCGCTTGGGGCGTTAAACAGGACATTAAAAGATATAAAAATCAACGACAAACAGGGCCAGTCCGATTTAAAAATTTCTACTGGAAAAATAAAAAAAAAACGGCCCACTTAGATATACTAAAAGTATAAAAACAACCCTAAAAATAATTATGTTTTCATAGAAATTTATTGTATATTATTTTGAGAATTTGAAAACTTAATATTATTATTAAAAATTAAAATACCGTTTATTTAATTATAGATGGTTTCTAATGCGCTTGCATTAAAAAATGTGTCTATATCTGTCGATACAATGAGTCTAAACCGTTAAATCTAAAAAAAAACTTCTCAACGTGTAAAATTGGTCTAATTCAAACAAGCGGCCCACCGGGAAATTCTCGGTATCCCGCCTGCCCAGTCTGGTCTTGAAGACGAACTATTCGGCGGTAGTCAGTTACTCCTTTCACGTGATTTCTGAAAAACACTTCCCGCCATTCCACGTTCAGCGTACGCTGATGAGATCAACGTTTGCTTGAAATCATCGCCATAGTGGTGTTATGTTGAAAAACTACAAATAAAAGTAAACATGCGTGTTCAAATGCTTCAAGATCCATCCGCTGACACATTCTCAAAACAATTGTTAGATACCGGCAATGAAAGAGTTTCTGTAGATGAAAATACTGGATGCATAACATTGCCGATTTATTTCTGCACAATCGTTGATTCACAAAATGCTCTAATCGAATGTATATTTCCATATATATACATACATTAAATATTAAACAAATTATGAGTGACTGGATTGTTCTTCAATGTTTTTTTTTCAATTGTTATTAAAAGTAAAAAGAGTACTAAATTAAAAAAATTAATGGCTAGCGTTTTGTAATTTTTATAGGCCGTCATTAACCACAGAACTCTATTTATTTTTCAATCATAGACACCATCCCAACCAGTTAATTTATTATTTATTAAGTTATTATTTTTTATACTACAAAATATATACTAGAAATACAATAAATATATGGCAAAAAACGTTTATTGGGTCAGCTAGTATGAAATAAATTTATTTGATTTTATTATTTATGTGAAACATACGAAAATAACCTCTAGGTTCATAAATACTGAGATACAATCATCATATGATACATAATAAAATATTAAAGCTATTCGAGGGTTATATTGTGTTAGCAATTATTTTATTTTAGTAGACGCTATAAAAATATAATTGAAAAAATGTATTTGATCGTTAATTTAAATGATAAAAATAATAAATAAATACATTTTACTCAACGTATAAAGGTATTATTCGTTTTCATATATAATCAGTTATTGTTTCTACAATTTAAAATATTAATCATACCCGTTCATAAATAAAAAATTATTTAACAGAAAATATTTCATTGTAAACGAATGTGATATGTTCTAGAAAATATTTAGAAATCACAGTTCTTATAAAAGAATAACAAAATAATTATATTATTTATATGCATTTTAATAATTTTTAATCATTATCGATTTACTCCAATGTTGTAATAAAAATAAAAACTATAAATTAGATTAACAAATTATATAATACAAATGCATACTCCTAAATTTATATTTTGATTTAAATATTTTACAAAAAATAGACTTGACGAATTTATCATTTGACAAAAATAAACACCATATTTAATAATATTTAGAATAAAAAGCTGTAAAACGATGTTTGAGAATTAGGTATTGGATCAGGTAAAAATTAAATTAATAATAATTTTTGCATCGAGGGTTACAGCTGTAAGCTTGTTCTACTATATATATTAATATAGAAGGGGAGGGGTTGATTCTCTACGGAAATGTTACCGTCGACTTTTCCGTGATTGCCATCGTCTTGCCACTATTACTATATACACTAGAGTAGGTATATATGTAAATCGTCACCAAAATGTCGTTTTTGAAATATAAAATGAAAACGTAACAAACATTTTCGGGTCAACAGCCACGATGAAAAAAAAGAAAGAGATGGATCAATAAAATTAAAAATGAGAGACGCAAAAAAATGACGGGTGCACAATATACATATATTCATATATAAAAAGACACTTAGCCGAACGATTTTATAGTACCTTAAAAAAATTTAGTTATATCAGTCTCGAGTATATACGGCCATACGGGTTACCATAGTTACTCGTGAGATTTGTAGAAGTGGTGGGGGGTCATAAGCGTTCCATTGGAATGTTTTTTTGAATATATAGGAGGAATTAATTATGCTATTTGATTTAGTGAAAAATAAAATAAAAAAAGAGGTCAACCATTCCTTTAAAGCAACGATTCCCAACCTTTTTAGTAGTGCGGACCACCAATTTCGTAGAAAATCTTTGAGGCCCACCAATAGTTATATATGTATAATGTGCACATACGTCAGTTATTACAACTGATTTATTAAAAAATAATTGTTTATCAAAAAATAAAACTTCATTGAACTTGATTATTCAAGAGTTAAACAATTTAATGTAATTTTGGATTGTTCCCCACGAGAGAATCAATATCTGAATTACAAACGAAAAGTTTTAGCCTTAAATCACTTAAATTAAATTTATTCCTACATTTATTTTTTAAAAAGTAGAAAAAGATCGTTCACACAGACACACAAATTATCGAAATATAGCCCATCAAGTTTCTAAGTAAAATTTTAGAAATTGCTAGAAAGTCTTGCCGAATATTTAATTAGAATGTTAATAATAGTGTGGTTTTAAAAAACGATTTTAGAGTCTGATCACATAGGAGTTCAATCAATGAATCTTCTTCACTTGCTGATATTTAATATTTTAAAAATATATGTAAGTAATGTTAATATAATATGGTTCATAGTCCAGTACCACCTGATCGCGGCCCATGGGTTTGGAACCGCTGCTTTAAGGTTTGGCACGTATATTAACGATTAATGAAGAATCTACTACCACATTTTCCATCAAAACTACAATAAATACACGAGCAAGTGGGTCGTAGTTACTAACTCACATAAAACCTTTAACAGCTGTATTATTTATTAATACATATCACACACATATGTAGCTACAATATGTGCAAGTATGTGAGTACAGCTTTTAACAACAGTATAGTTAACACTAACGCATATGGCTGGTGACCGGCATTCAAGCGTGATTTAAAACACTAAAATAGTTCAAACTCGATCTTACCCTGGCCGAAACGTTTTGTTGACTTCGCGATTTATCTCTTCTGTGAGTCTTGAAGTTTCGCAGAAACCGAGTCAATGTGATCTTCTTTTTACCGGGTCGATCTGGAAAAAAATTACAATAATTCGCATACCATTTAAATACAGTTTTTATTTTCTATGTAACAAACGTTCTTGTTTTTTATTTAATATCTTGCACGATACTAAACATTATGAACAACAATCTCTCAATCATATTGATATAACCTTTAATAAGATAACATTTTTCAACTTTGAATGTTTCCATCGATTTACGGAGGGACTGAACAAAAAATAAATAGGAATAAATCAACACGGACACCGTGATGTATGCAAGTGGACAAACGGCCTACTTGCCGAACATCACATCGACACGTTTGCCACAAATACGTGGAAACATTTGGAAAATAAACCCCATTTTCGGGCATATACTATCATCTCTTTCCCTTCTCCCCTTCGTCATCAGCGTTTCAAATCTCCCACAACCCAGTTTTCTCCCCCGGGATGCCGTCTAATTTCCATTTAAATTTTATCCCAGGCTCACTGGATGAAATCCATTTTGGCCTTGGGAAAACCACAATATTGCAAGGTTTTCTCAGTCTAAAAAAGAAAGGGGTGGGAACGAGTAGAGTAATATAGAGAGAAAAGTGAAAAGAGAAATAGCAAGAGAGAAAAAAGGTTTTTCCGTCTTTCACTCTTTGGTTTTGTAGGATCCCACTAACTTTTCACCACAGTCACATGTAAAGGAGATGGAAATTCTTATTTTAATATCGTTCCTGTTAAGTGTGCCGAATAAACGAGCGTTGAAATGGGAAAAAAGACCTTTTTTTATTTTTAATTAACTCGATGTAAAAAAATAATGTAAAAATATCTACAGTTAAAATAATATTATAACTGTGAATGAGATAGTTCATTGCTCGTCATTATTCATTAATATACAATAAGTTATGAATAAACTTATAAAACCATTTTCCTACGGGCGATCACTGCTTAGTAACACAAAATGTTAACATTATCTAAGTACTCAGTTTATAAACAAAAGTTTGTTAATTTACCTGCAGGAGGAAACTCGTAAAAATATGCAGATCTTGGGCTTAGACATCTGAAACATACAACATTTTTTAATAAGTAATATTTAATGAAAAAAAATATATATACAGAGAAATTATTTTTAAGCATAATTAATTTTCCAATAACATTCAATTATATAAAGAAAATATTATAATTTTGACAAGGAAAATTTAATTTTTTTTATTCTAGAAGAAAATTTTTAAAATATATAATAATATATTTTTACTTTTAAGCTATGGTATATTACAGTCATAAACTATATATAAATTATATACTGACCAGAATTTTTTTTAAGGGAAAAATTATATTTAAGGATTTTTATATAAACTTTCGTAAACATAGCCATATTTACTAAATGAAGATATACTAATATCTTATGGTTTACTTGAGGATATGAAAATATTATTCAAACTCCTTAATAAAACGATTGTTATTATTCTTTTGTATTTTAAGTATCATTAAAAAATATTATGATTACATAATAATTACATAAATAGTTTTTATAAAGCTGTAATATTTTTATAAACCATGGGGTAATACATTAAATACAAAATATTCTATAAAATACGGATAGTTTAACCCATACCAATTTAAATTCAAGTTATAACTAATAAGTAGTGCCTACTATAATTGAGAATTATACAGATTTAAAGTATATGAGTGATATAAATGTTATACAATAAGGGTATAAAATCTTAGAATCTTAGAAAAATATTAGGATTAATTAAAATGTCAGTATAGTTATAATAAAAATATGAATAATTATAAAAGACACTCGGCCATTAAGAATTTATTTTATGACACATTATATAGGTAATATTCATGTATATTTTAATAGAACAACGCATTTAATCTAAATGGAAAGAACAATAAAAATATTAAAAATCGCTCTGTTTGTAAATATTATATTTTTTACTTAGAGGCTAAGCGAATGTTTCAGTAGATATGGAATAAGATTCCATAGGGATGGTAGCAAATAATGATAATAAAAGTTGTGATGTCTCAGTTGTAAAGAAAAAATAAATCATAATCATAATTATAATACATAATAAATAAATAAAATAAGAATAGTAATGATTTATGACAAGTTATAAATTATACGTGATCATTCTGGTCTTATTTATTATGTAATCGAAACTTAGTGAAGCTGAAAGCAGCGCAGAATACCACCACAAACTGTTTGATGTTCACCGTGTAAAATAATAAAATAATAAAACAAAATTTCCAGACCATAAATAATTAAAAATATTAAAGGCACATATATAATATATATTTTACCCGAGTACGATCAAACTACGTCATACACGAAGATACTACAATGAAATACTAAATAATACTGGGTTATTAACTAATTGAAAAATCATATAATTTTAATACTTGTATATAGATAAGTACAATATACACATTTTTTAAAAGTAATTTAATTTAGTAAAGAAATAACTTATTTAGCTATGATTTATGATGAAATTGAATGAGGAAATTATCGGTTATATTGTTTTAATTGGTTAATTGGTTCATATGTATTCAGAACATATACGAGACAAATTTCTGTACAAATATTTTATAGTTTACAAGTTCATATAAAATATAATATTTATATTTTTTATCAGTATACGGCATACGGATAAACGTATAATGTAGATATTATACATTCATAATAATTTTTCCACTTTAGCAATAGCAGCAGTGATTTAAGCAATTTTTAATGTGAATTCTTTGTCAACCATAAATTTGGGTTGCATAATTTCGAAAACATCGCCGCCACCGCTGTTGTTTAGCGGAAAAACTGCAGAACGTTTGGCAAGTACCATAGGTGTAAGCGCTATTTATCCATACCACAATGAGGTCGGATTACCGAGTAGAATATCAGTTGTAGTCTCATTAAACACTGTGTTACTTTGCAAAAACAATGAAAATATAAATACAAAAATAAAATAAAAGTTGCCAAATGTTTGTAATCATATACAGTATAATATACAATAGATATACAGTGTACAGGTATATATAATATAGTATATAGGTATTTTAGTAAAAATATATTTTTAATATTAAAATGTGGATGTGAAGGCGGGGGGAGGGGGAAAGAAATATAGCACCATCGTTCTTAAGCGGGCTTTTATTTGCCTTTCACATAGAGTTAAGTCGAATATGTCACTGATATACGTTCATAAGAGGTATATAATTCATTCCAAAGGGATATGATTTATAAAGAGAACTGAAATTATATCAATGCTCCGTTAAATAAAAACAATAATAAGTCATATACTAGGAGGCGGCGACGCGGTAGTGTTTGTCGAACGCGGATCGGACATGAAACGAACGCGTTTACAATAATAATAATAATAATAATAATAATAGCATATAAATAAATGAACACGTAACCGTTGTGCCGCCAACGAGAGTTTTGAATGTATGTCCAATATAACAGCTGTGGTCGCGTGTGCTCTGTTCGACGATAACAATGAGTACGGATTACTATTCGGAGTCCCAGGGAAGAACTATTCATTTATTTTAATTTCGAGCTCCATTTTGCCGTGCCGTGGTGCAGTACCTACATGTACATAGCACGATATAACTGCCTGCGGCCGAGTAGGCAAGTGTACGGGTGGATGGGTGGATGGGCGGAGAATTGCGATGGATTCAGTTGGCGAAGGTATACGGAGAGGAATAATAAATGAAAAAAATAAAGGAAGAAAAAAAGCGATCCGATTAAAATAAGAGCTAATTTAACAGCGGTTTAATTTTACCGTACAAATTATAATTAATTAAAACGTCTGAGAGCACATTGAATCGCGCTGAATCTGCGTGACATATATATATATATTTGAGTATATATACACATATATTATTATTGTTGTTTTAAAACAGCGACGGCACTAACTCCTATCACATCAGCTATTTCATATTATTGAGTTAAGAGTATATCCACAAGTTATGATCGCACGTACATTGTTTCAGGTTTTTAAAATGGATCGGGTAAAACGATTTTCGAGTCGATCGATGTATTATTTTTTGGCATAATGTAAAACTGCCAAAGCATAAAATATTTCTGAAATCAATAATTTTCATACGTTTGGATCGCAAAATGTTGAAATTCAATATACAACCAATTTAGTAAGAATACGTATACATTTTAGGTGTATGTGGTCTTTATCCAGGCGAAAATGTGTCATCAAATAATATTAATTGAAAATGAATAGCTGCAACATTTTTAATTCATTAAAAATGTTATTCAATACCATAAACAAACATTAATGTCGCTATATAAAATTGAATATTTATTGAGCATAAAATATTAAAGAATTTGCGAATAATTATATAAAGTTTTAAGTGATAAACAATGAATAGTACCAATTAATTAATTCGTATGATTTTATTTCATACTAAGTGTATTATCAAGACTTATATAATATCATACATTTATAATAAATTTTTTGTCTATTTTATAATTATAGTTTTAGTTTTTACATGTATACATTGTTAGTTATAATATACATATATATACATTTTTATATCAAAGATCGTACCTACATAATGATGTGCCTGACACGAGTAAAAAAAAAAATAAAATAAAAATAATCAATAGTAAGACAAATAGTAATTATAGAACCTAAAGATGTAAAATTATAAAAATATTATAGTTAAACTTTTCTAAATAAAGATTGACAAAACAACATTAATTCTTACTTAAAAAAATATTTAATTATTTATTTATACTTACTATATTTATTTAAACTTTAAATGTAATAACAGTAATGCCTAGTTTAAAAAAAAAAAAAGATTTTTTCCATATACAGGGTTTTTGGGCATAGTTGAATTAATCATATTTTTTTTTTTTTTTTTGGTCTGAAATAATAAATATCTCAAAATCAAAAAGTATGAAATCTCAATCAATTCATTTGAGAACACCGATTGGTTCAAATATGTTTTCTCAGGAAGGATTATTATATGCATAGTATACGAATATACTCGTATTACACCTATTCACAACTTTACTTTAAAATCAGAAGTTTCCAATAATCTCTGTTTCTTAAACTTGTTTATTATAAATTAATATTTTTACATTGTACGTGTACAAATACTTGATAAATTATACTTAATAAATAAAATCTTAATTTTTTAACTTTAAAATAAAAAATATGAAAATGGAAAAGACATATATAAATAATACGAAGGTAATATATAGGAGACCAAAAAGTTTAAAATATTAAGTCTTTTTAGATAATTTATGACATTTTATTTTATATATGATAAATATCTTCAGAGGGGAAAAATAATAATATTTAATATGCTTTTTTTCTCTAAAAGCGTAAATTTTTATTTTGATACCTACATAAAAAAAAAGTTAGATTATTATAAAAATATTTTGGAATGAGACAAACATTATAATAAAGAATAAAATTGAAAATAAAAATATTAAAAATATATTACTGAAACATATGTAAAAAAAAACCATGCTTAAGTACAGTAATCTATCACAGTAAAAAAAAAAAATATTTTCTACAATAATCCTACAATTAATTTTGTCTGTACTCTATGCTCAATGGGCGTTAATAAAAATAAATAAATATATTATAAATTATTACAAATTTACAATTATACTATACAATTATACATAGCAAATAAGAATAATACTTTTAGTTACAATTGAAAGGAACCAAGTATTTTCGATTACAATAATTACATAATTATTATGTAAAATTAATGACTTACTTTGTAAAGGCATTTTTACATCCCTAAACTTTTGATAGAATTTTCGTAAAAACTTAATATTTTATTAGCCAATTCCTATTAATACTGTTATTATCGAGTGTACGTTTTTTATCTAAATAAGATTCCACGCAAATAATTTAAAGCATAATGTATAATATATAATTATAAGAATATAATATAAAAGTAAAGTGCAGATAATGCATCGTAATCGTATACATAATACACTAAATTGGTTTTGAAATAAGCCAATTCAAACAACTTTTATACCACACTACTATTATTCTTATGATTATAAATAAATCATTTAACAAAAAAAAA